TCTCTTTATGCTTTAGCTCATCATCACTTACCTAGGCTAAAGGTCCCGAACGTATGTATGCTAACTTGCTTTAGCTCAACAGGCTGTGGCCTTCAGGTTACTTACATTACAGCCAAAATACTCTAGAATAAATCTATTCTAATAAAACATCAAACCCATAAGAAAAGCTATACAAACAAGCAGGCTAGCTCTGTGGGCTAGATATACAAGAATGCTGTTCCTTCAGAGGATGGAATGCGTGATTCTGTCTCAATTTTTGGATGCTCTTTTATTTTAATTATAGGTGGGGCTAGACGTACCGCCTATTAAGGTTGTCAGACACTTTCACGTAAGACCATGTTTTCAGCAGCTTATAACTTTTTTGTCAGTTTTTAACCATTTGGGTTGAAATTTGCTGTGCCAGGTGTCTGCCTGAGGCTGATTTTGAAAAATTTCAGCCAAAACAGTTCAGAAGTTTCTGAGAATGAGGTTAGGGAGAAAATACATTGTTTTGCCAGTGTTAAATTTTGGTGACTTTTTTTTTTTCTTAAGTGCTAGCGCCCTCATGCTTTGGAGCAGGGGCCTGTAATTTGGTCTTTTTGTCAGAGATGTGCCTTTTGTTGTCCTCATGAAAATCTGCCTAAACTTGGCCAAGTTATACACCTTTAAAAAAATCAGTTCTTAGATTTTTAGCAGCCAAATTCCTCAAAGATTCCATCAGCACTGAACTGCCAAGCTCTGACTGGAGTGTCAGCTTTCCCTGCAATAGCAGCTCTGGACTGCTGCAGGCCATCCTGAACTGAGAACAGGGCGAGACTCTCCTGTGCTCTGTGACTGCATCTCCAGCCCCTGCTGAGCCCAGGGAGGAGGAAGTTGTCTGATTCTAATGCACAGAGGACAAGAGCTATCTGAGTGAGGGGCAGAGGGAGTACATTGGAACAAAGCTGTGCAGTTTGTGGAAACTGGGACTGGAGGCTAATGGGGGCGGGGGAGAGAACAGGGACTCGAGTTTTGGCGGAGACTAGTACTGTCTAGGTAAGGAGACTGGGACTTGAAGGCAGTGAATGGCTTTTCTAGAGGATTAAGAGCTGGGCAGAGAATTGGTGAGGGGAATAGTATGTTCTATAACTAGTGCAAGAGGGCTGAGTTAAGATTACACAGGCAATTTTAATTCTGGCATTTCGTTTCCTAACTGAGTTTTGTAACATTAATCTTTTAATGTAGCGTTTGTGTATGATTTAGAAGTACTTCATACATTATCATTATTAGCACTTTGCAGTTGATAGAGTATTGTTAGAATAATTAAAGATAAACTGCTTTTAAAGGAAAGATTTAACCACCTTGCTGAGTGCAGTAAATCAAAAGCTCACATTATACATGAACACTTGTCACCCCACAAGCTATTAATAAATATTTGAAAATAAGGGTCTAACTAGAGTATTTAATTTCTGAGCCTTGCGCTGCCAGGGGCCATATAGCTGAAAAGATACTTGACATGACATAAACCTATGTCCATGCTATTGATATTGTGCAAACCAGAGTGTTTAAATATTGATCATAGAAATTATAGATGGAAGACTCCTAATTAGGCCATCTAGAGAGTCCGTTATTCTGCCAGCACAGGATTCTGTTGTATGTTAGTGTATCGTCAATTCTAGTTTTGAGGGTTCTGAAAAATGAGGCTTCCATTGCATTATTTGGGAGACAGTTCCACAGGTTGATACAGAACATGCTCAGAAAGCTTTTCACCTTATACTATTTTTTTCTTAATTTCCTCACTTTAAAAAAAAAAACCACCTTTTTTCACCCTGTATTTTTCCTTCATCGGGCTCTACATCCTTTTAAATATTGTTAGACTTAAAATTTAACCTCTTCCTCCTTCATTGTTGCTTAGCCATGACTTATATATTTGGCTATGTCTTTCCTCATAGGTCAATTGTGTAAAACTTCAGAATGTTGTGCTAAGTAAAATAAATGCCATTTTCTCTTAAAGGAATGCTATAATCTTGATTTTTTTTAACTTAATTTTTTAGAAATCCAGTTTCCAAATAGAACTCCTTAGTGTCCTAGCTTGCTTCTTTAAAAAGTATTCTTGTTTTAAAAAAATAAGGGTTTTTCTGCTCCCTATTTGTCTTTTGAGATGACCTGAGATCAATGCTACCAAACATGCTGACACCCACATCTTCCCCTTTCTGTCTGCAAACAGTTGTGTTCTACTTAGAATCATAGAATATCAGGGTTGGAAGGGACCTCTCAGGAGGTCATCTAGTTCAACCCCCTACTCAAAGCAGGACCAATCCCCAATTTTTGCCCCAGCTCCCTAGATGGCCCCCTCAAGGGTTGAACTCACAACCCTGGGTTTAGCAGGCTAATGCTCAAACTACTTGTTCAGTTTAAACTCTGCTGCTGCTGGTATTAGTGATGAAACCCCTTTAAAGGGCGGGAGGATGGGTGTAATATACAGTGAAATATACCAAGATAAAGTGCTGTCAAATGCAAAGTATGGTGATGAGGAAACTTAGTTATTATGGTAGGCCTTGAAGACCCTTCTGGGGGTTTAGGGGCTCATTGTGTTAAACTGCACACAACAGAAAAATTATCCTTGCCCCCAAAAGAGCTTACAGTCTAGAGGATGAAGAAAATGTGTTAATTTTCCATTTTAACAACAGTGGATACATTTTCAAGTTGATGGTGTCTCTTTAAAAAATAGCCTTACATGTAGTAGAAATATTGTCCATTCTGAGATTATTAGAAAAATTAGAACCAGGAAACTCAATCAGAGAGAAAGCTATGATGTTTCCGAGGGGCATTTTGATACTCTTTATCTAGAGGTTAAAGAAGCCATCTCCTTTACCTCTTTTTTGGAAATTAATTTAGAGCCCTGAGGTGTAATGACAATATAGCGATAACATTAAGAAAAGCAAGATTTAATTGGAGGGGGGAAAATTGGGGAAAGATCCTAATGATTAGCCTGTGAAAGAGTCTCCCAAGAAATGATTGGACTTTCACCATCACATGAGGCACTTCAAATTTGACTAGACAAAGCTGTGTAGTAGAAGCAATCCTGCAAGAAGAGAATGAGGGAGAAAGGTTAGTAAAAATAATTTCCCCATATCTTTATCCAGTTAATATAATGAGGGATTCTCCTCTCCAGTGTACGACTGGCACTGGCGTACAGCTCTGATGTCCTCAACTAAATATATCTTTGGACAATCAGCCTCCATAGCCATGTTCTGTTTTAGGCATTTGTTTAATTAGGTCTTGGTTTCTTTTAAACTACTAGTCTTAAAAATGCCTATATTCTGCAAAGGATTTACCCAAAGAAAAGTAAGTATGGAGCCGGAACAGGATGACAGGTGTTTAAATTGTTTGTTTGTATAATACTTTGGATATTGTGGACATATGTCACCCCGAAGCAGAGATCTCGCTAGCAGTCTGGAAAGTGCCAGTCTTAATGTACGTCTGGTGCAATGTACTCTTGCTTGGAATTGCCTTCCGCTGTTTTGGGTTATGATTATGACATAAATTAGTTTTTTAGTGGATTTTTACAGGCATCTTTCAGGAAGCTTTCTTAGTGGAAAATGAGCTTTAATGTGTCAGTCTTCCTCTCCCTCAATCTGAAATCTGCTAAATGTGCACTTATGTGGTATATTAATTGTTACTGTATTAATAATTGTTCAATAAAATGGTAGTTTTGTTTGCCATAACTTGAACTCTATCAGGTTCCTAAGATTTTGTACATAGCCCATGTGAACTAATGAAATAAATCACGTTTTAATTCTTTCCTTTTTTAAATTAAAGCTTATTTAAGGAAACATTCAGCAAGAAACTTTCATATTTGTCACTTACAGTAGAGTGATACAGGATTATTTCACTGGTGTTAAGCAAGCCAGGAATTTTGCATTCAGCAATTAAAACTCTCAGGTTCATATTTCCAGTTAGTGCTCTACAAAATATATGAGTGGTGTACAGCTGTTTTCCAGTCAACAGTTATTTAAAATTTGTTCAGGAATTAGGAAAAAGCCATAACTGGCTGCCCAGCTGTTTATAACTAAATATGGAACTTGCATGGCAAGTCTGGATTATTTGACTCATAGCTCTTAATTTTTTTTAAAGGCACATAACACCAGAGAAGTTTTACGTGGAAGCTTGTGATGATGGAGCAGATGATGTTCTTGCCATTGACAGAGTCTCCACAGAGGTCACTCTTACAGGTATGCTTCTCACCAGCACTAGGCCAGCCGATTAAAAAGTACAGTGACAAAGTGCAATAAGCAATCTAAATACTACTTCAAAGCTTAATGTCAGGGTTCTTTGGATAGCTTACTGAATAGCCACATTAATTATTTTGATACCTTAAGTCTCTTTTCACCTCACTCATGGTGTTGAGTTTTTTTGTCTCCTTTGTGGACTGGATATTTATTTGCAATAGCAGAAATCTAAAATGTGCCACAGCATTTTGATTATTTTCAGTAAAAATTAACTATTTTAAAGTATTCGTTGATATTTATTTCTGCAGCTCAACATGTAATTTTTATTGGAAGGTGATTTTAAGGTTCTTTGTAGTTATGTAGCTGTGTGTATTAAAAATGTGTGGTGAAAATATATGGTGCATATAACTAAGGCTAAGATTTTGTCACGGTTATTTTTACTAAAAATAACCGGACAGGTCACGGGCAATAAAAATTCACAGAGCCCATGACCTGTCTGTGACTTTACTTAAAATAACAGGGGGCAGGGCTAAAGTAGGGGGGAGGAATGGAGTCTCATGATGGGGAGCGACCGACAGGTCAAGCCCCCAGCCATGGCGGGTGGCACACCCCTGGCTCCAGTGGCCGCAGCAGGGCGCAGCGCCCCCGCTCTGGAGCTGGCCGTAACTGCGGAATAGGGGTGCATGGCCCCGGCTGCAGCCCCCGCCAAGCCCCAGCCACAGCTGGGGTGGGGGGCGCACGGCCCTGGGACACTGTGGGGCTGGGACGTGCGGCCCCCGGCAGAAGCCACGGGGCTGGGGCTGCAGGGTCCTCGTTCCAGTCCCAGTTTCAGGGCAGGGACGCAGAGTCCTGCCTCCAGCCCCAGCTGCTGACAGCTGAAGTGGAAGAAGTCACAGAGGTCCGGTAAAGTCACAAAATCCTTGACTGCCGTCACCTCCCGTGACTAAATCGTAGCCTTATGCATAACAACTGATTTGGGGCTCCCACTCATTTAATTTTTTTATTTTTTGATAACTGTATGACTGCATCAGTTTGAAATGTTGACTTATTCATGCTAATTAGGACTGATGCCACAGTCTGGACTCAAGCATACGAAAGATGAATGTCGTGCAAATGTGCTCCTGTAACTTCTGAGAGCTCAATTTATTCAGCTTAACAAGGAGAAGGTTAAGGGGTGACTTGAATACAGTCCACAAGTATCTACTCAAGGAATAAATATTTAATAATGGGCGCATCAATGCAGCAGAGAAATGTATAACACGATACTGTGGCTGGAAGTTGAAGCTAGACAAATTCAGACTGGAAATAAGGTGTAAATTTTTGACATTGAGGACAATTAACCATTTGACCAATTTACCAAGTATAAATTGGTAACTTTTAAATCAAGATTGGATGTTTTTGTAAAAGATCTGCTCTAGGAATTATTTTGGGGAAGTTCTATGCCGGTGCTATACAGGAGGTCAGACTAGATGATCACAGTGATCCCTTCTGGCTTTGGAATCTATGAACTTGGCCAAAATATAGTTGGTGATTATTATTTTTTTTTAGCTTTTTCCTGAGGCTGTTAAAAGGCTACAGTTTGAATTGTTTGATAGTTCTGTGCTATGGTCATAACTTAACATTTTACTTTTGCAAATTTGTGTGGTTTTAACAAACACGCAGGTTGTTTCCCAGGTGAAGACCTGATACTAAATTGCAACTTGAAACAAACCATTTAATACTGAGCTATGAACTTCAGAAAATAGGATGTTAAAAGTGCACTCACATGCTGTCTTACTGAGAGGAGCTGCTACAATACTTTCCCTTCATATTAGAATCTGTGTATCTCCTTTCTCTCACTGAGAAAATTAAATTAAAATCTCTTTTCCAACTAAATTTGGACTGTAAAGCTTACAGTATTTTTGTATAAGATTAGAGCTCTCATCCTCTTGAAATATTATAGTACTGGAATAGCAATTACTCCTTCAGAGCTGTAAGGATTACTCTTCCCAGGTTTCTGTTGTCTGCCATCTTTTCCTAATGCTGGTGTTTCATTAACATATAAACTCTTCAAGCCAAGGTATTTTGTTGTCCCAGCAGCTACTTTATAATTTCATTGGCATGTAACCCAATGACTAATCTAGTCCCATTTTTCTCCATTCTTCAAACTCTGTTGGGGCACTTAGTTGTGACTTAAATCTAGGATGACATACAAGCCTGGTTTAAAACTTGGTGTTAATGGTCCTCACAATGACCCCTAAATCTATGGATGATAAAAGTATAATACTGAAGCACTTCTGCAAGCTGCATTCCCACCCTCCACCCCACCACACCTATCATTCAGGACACTATATTCTTTAGCTCACCTGTACAGCTCTTAGTAGTCTTTGCCTTGAAGAGCTGGCCTTACAACTTAAAAATCACAATTCGGACTGCATGTCTGGCCCTGTTGCTCAGTGTGGAATTGGACTGAGATGCTGCAGGGGTGCTCAGAAGTGGGGAGGCCAGGTATAGTGGCTTGTGGCTGGTCTTGGGGCCTTGACACCTGGAGTTTGGTTCAAAACAGGAAACTCCTTGCTGCTGGCAGGACAGTGCGCTGCTGCTGAGCTACCCAGCTAGACTGTCCGGTAAATGAGCCTGAATTTCTTCAGTTAGAGTGATTCTTGTTGATTAAACAGAATAGAAAACTTTCATTTCCTAATTTTAAATTCTTTCCCAGCATGTTTTCAAACTAATCCATTGCCTCTCACAATTGTGACTCATTAATGACATGGTTGAAACTTCATGATCAAATCCAACTTAATAAAGTTACATGGGATATAATCATGAAACAGATGTAGTTTGACATCTTGTTTTTCTGCTTTTCAGTTAAGAAAGATGTTCCCCCTTCAGCTGTTACAAGGCCTATATATGGTATTTTGGGAACAATCCGTCTGGTGGCAGGTAAGGAAAACAAAATGCTATACTGGTGAAAGAATGTAGGTGAAAATATATTGCTAGAGAAATCTAAAAGCCTGGGAGAAAGTGTGGTTCATGTATAAAGGAAATCTGGAATTACGGTTTGTTGGACAAAATCACTTTTTTCATCATTTCTTAAAAGTTGCTATAGTAGGACACTTGTCATCTGTGTAAGCTAACTAAAGATGCTTAAAAATGAAAGGAAAGCGAAGATGTCCTATGAATTTTAAATATCTAAATGTAGAAAAGGAGTTAATTGACCATTCTGTCAACTTACTTTTTAAATATATTTCTACAGAACCTACAAAACGTTTACTTCCCTCCCCCCTTTCACCCTCGCCACTGGAATTGCTGTAACACTTATGTACTTTTTGGTGAGGCTTGATTTCAAGTCAATAGTACTGGTACACGAAATAATATATTTGGGAATGACCTGATGCGAGATCAGTGTATTTAGTTGTTTAATCAATGGCTGTTTTCAAACCTCTTCCCAAATGTAGAGGAAAAATCAACAGTTAACAAAAGGAAGAGGACAAATTGGAACAAAACTTCCTAATATTTTGGAGGCTTTAGGGCAACTGTCTTTTAGGATAAAATAGTATATCTGTGACCTTCTGTAAGACTTCTAAATTGAATCTCATTTGTTGAATCTCACTGTCATTGTACGTATTGCTGATGGATTCTGCATTCTCCAAACTATGGGCTCAGTCACTTATCTCCTGCGTCCCCACCCTAAAAGATCGGTGTGTGGAGAGGACTGTCTGTACTTGGATCTGGAGTGGGGGTCGGCTGCCCCTGCTGCACTCTCTCTCCCTTCAAGACCCTGAAGTGTGCTTGGCAGATTCAGATCTGCATGTGGGGATGGAGTGTGGGTGTTTGGAAAGGTGTGCTCTATCCCTACCCAACTCCATGGGGAACCTTCAGGAAAGTTAATTCATTTGTGCGTTTTGGGCTGTCCAAACTGTCTTCTGTGGAGTGGAGCAACCTCCTTCCAATGGAGGGATTTAGAGGAAACTCTTGAGGAGGGGAACTTCCAGGAATTTTTCTCCCTCTTTCCCCTTCATGCATTTTTTTCGTATATAGCCTTGTGCTTGCTATCCTTGTTTTCTTGAATCATGTTATATCTAACTACTCTTGACTTCTACATTTTTTATTTTACAGGCAGCTATCTCATTGTAATAACAAAAAAGAAAAAAGTAGGTGAATGTTTCAGTCATGCAGTCTGGAAAGCAACTGATTTTGACATCCTCTCCTACAAAAAGACCATGCTGCACTTAACTGATATTCAGGTAGGAGTAGATTGGTAGAAGAAAAATAAATGAGCCACAACTGATTAGCAATTTTCTGATGGCTTGTCTTTAGCATAATAAAAAACCCCTCTTCAAATGTAGGTCTCCTGGGATTGAAGCATAGTTTGTAGACTGTTACAGCAGTTGTGCAGTTTCTTTTAAAATGCTGATGGCATTGTGGTTCATCTGCTTTGATTTATTCATAATGTTATAAGCATGTGCATGTTCTTGCTTATATGAGTGTAAATTAGAGAAAATCTATGCATTCAAATTCCCAAATCAACTCCATTGTGCAACCTCTGTGTCCCTGACCTTCCTGACACCAATTTCGCTGCTCCCTCCCTCCAGTTTCTAAGATGGCCTTTCTTATTGTTTTGACCAAATCATCCTTCATTAGGTCCCATCTCTCACTGCATCAAGTTCAAACCCATGTCTCTTATGTCTCCCAACACTGCACCCCTTCTTTCTTCCCACAATGCCCATTAAGACCCTCTTTGTCCAGTTCTTTCACAGCCAACTCTGTGTTTTCTTCCACACTGTCTCCTATGTATGGCATGTCCTTCCTGAGCTGGTCCACAAAACCACTACCTTCTCCATGTCAAATCCTTTACTACTTCCATGAAACCTACAAGAAACTAGTTGACTAAGGGTACGTCTTCACTACCCGCCAGATCGGCGGGTAGTAATCTATCTATGGGGATCGATTTATCACGTCTCGTCTAGACGCAATAAATCGATCCCCAAACACGCTCCCGTCGACTCTGGAACTCCACCAGAGCGAGAGGCGGAAGCGGCGTCAACGGGGGAGCCACAGCCATCGATCCCGCGCTGTGAGGACCCGAGGTAAATCGATCTAAGATGCGTCGACTTCAGCTACGCTATTCTCATAGCTGAAGTTGCGTATCTTAGATCGATTTCACCCCCCTCCCCCAGTGTAGACCAGCCCTAAGTGATCCAACTATTTATCTCACTTAGATTATCACTGAACTGATCATTTTTGTTTACATGGAGGGAAGGGATTGAATGTTGGGAGGAATGAAAGGGTATAAATTCATTGGAACTGAAACGGGATTGCTGTGGAACAAAGACATGGGGATTGAATGGTGGGATAGGAGGTGAATTTAGTATCTATTTAAAAATAAAATAAGCCAAACCTGCAACCAAGACATGAGCCTATCACTGGGATCACCTTGCCATAATGTTGTATCCTTTCCCCCTCACCTCTCGCTTGCCTTTTTTTTGACTGTACACTCTTTGGGGCACAACAGGTTTTTCCTCTGTGGTTGGGAAGCACTTGGTATCAGTCTAATCTCCATTATTTACTCCTGGGGGAATTCTGTGCTAAAAAATTAAAAATTCTTCACACAGTATTTTAAAATTCTACAAAATTCTGCATATTGTATTTGTCAAAATAACAATTTAACACCAGTTTCAATTATTCTGGCAATTCATTTAAAAATATCTGTCAGCAAGTATGTCTGTAACAACATACACACACAAAAGATTCAGGAGATTTTTTTGACAGATTCCTTACTAGGCTTATTGGTACAGAACGTTGAGTAATTCATTTAAACTACAATACAGTAACATATTTCCTGCACCCCTCAGAAGCAGTGCAAAGGCTTGGGGGACTCGGGGGTAATGGAGGAGCTGACGGAGAGGGAAGGAGTTTGGGAGTGAATCTGGAGGGTTGTTGGGTGTGGGTGGGAGAAGTCTGGAACAGGTATTTTTTGGGGGGTGGAGGTGGGTAGGGGGAGGGATTGTTAGGGAGTTGGGGAGTCTCCAGCTGACCCCCTAGCCTCTCCCATTCAGTGAGGCACATCTACCCCCCATCCCCAGGTGGCCTTGCAGTCCCCCTTCCATTCAGCCCCTGGCTCAATGCTGTCACCCCACTAGCTTCTGAGCCCATGCTCCAATCTGTTCTCCCCACTAGTCCTTCTGATCTCCCACTAGTCCAGTCTGTGACAGCCCCCCAGAAGCCCCGTGTACCCCACTGTGTCCGTCCCATGCCTCCTCATTAGGCCCCACTGTGAGGAACACAGTCTGTCCCGCTCCCTCTCTGCACACTGGCTCCCTTCTCTTCTGGCACCGCTGGTGGGCAAAAGGTGTAACTGCAATGCCTCTCCAGAATCTTTATTCTGTGGAGAAGAAAAAACATCTGCAGGGGACATGAATTCTACCTGTATGCAGTGGCACAAAATTTCCCCCAGGAGTAATTATTGGTCAAACCCCCTGAAGTATAGCGTTCTCTCATCTACTGTACATATTGAATCAGGGTGTACTGGAGCAGTTTAACGTTGTAAACTGGCAGTCTACTTTTATTCTCTCAAAATTGTGATCTCAAGGTATCCTTTTATATTGGTGTGTTTTTTTTTTTATTTTATTTTTTTAATGTACTCCTGCAAAACATGGTGGTAAGCAAAAAATCAGTGCCTTTTTAAAAAGGGGAACTTAAAAAACGCAGCAATTTGGTGTTGGTAAATAAGAGTGTTCTTTGTTCTTTCTGCCAACAGTTGCAGGACAATAAAGCCTTTTTAGCAATGCTTAGTCACGTCTTGAATGTGGATGGATTTTACTTCTCTACAACATATGACCTAACGCACACTTTGCAAAGGTTAGCCAACACCAGTCCAGAATTCCAAGAAATGAGCCTACTAGAGAGGGTAAGGATTCCATTGATTTCTGTCTTGTATCCAGCTCCTTGTCAACTAGTTTTATGTGTGGTAATGGGTTTATTTTATAGATCAGGTAACTGATGGGATTATTTCACTAGTCTATTTAGATTCTAATTTCTGGCTGGACTGAACTCTGAGGGGACAAGTGTCAGTTTCATCCCTTTTAATGTTTCTGAGACATAGATTAGCTTTCAAACTTGCCATTTTGTTTTTGTAAACTAGATATCCCCTTAAAATTAATGTTGAACTTTTGCATTCCTAAAACAGAGCCCTAGCACTCCTGGCTCTGTAGCATTAAATTTGTGTATATTACACTTCTCAACAGTCTGTGGGTAAACCTGTCGCAAGACAGCTTTAAAAAAAAATCAGTACTTTCGGAGCTGACTAGTATACTATCCTATCTTTTATTTCCTTCTGCCATCCTGCATAGGTCTTTGTGTCTTGCTGCTTCTGACCTCCTTGCCACAATCCTTAATGTTCCATGCTCAGATCATCTTATATTACAAACTTCTGTTGGGGGCTGCTCGATGTTCCTGATTATTTTATAAAGGAAAAGTGAGGAAAAATGCTGGCCTTAAATGCCACAAATATACAGTGACTACAACTCCTTTCTCTTTTCTGCCTGCCACTGCTGGTTATCTTTTGTTTCATTTTGATTTAAAATACTTAACTACCATAATGCAGGTCCCAATTAACTTCATAGTAAAGTTTAAATATCGTAGATCTTATAGCAACAGGTCTCTCCCCAGCTTGATTTTTAAACTTGCAAATGTTTTACAAATACTTTTTAATCCTCTTAAGACACTTCATTGTGGAATAGTACTGTTTATAGGGCCTCCTCCAAAGCCCATTGAAATCAATGGAAGTCTTTCCAGAGACTTCACTGGGCTTTGGATCAGGTCCTTAAAATACAACTTCTCAACACTAGAATTCTGAGAACTACACATCTGAGCCGTTCAATACTCCTGGTTTTGTGTGTATCTTGTCTCTTCCTGGCACAAACATCTTGGCACTTCCAGCTGTTCTTAATCTTATGTAAATCCTCATTTATGTTTTTAAATTAAGATTTTATGGTACTGTCAGTGAAATTAGAGCTCCTCGTGGACTTACCTGGCCATAGATTTAATGCATAAACTGTAAAAAGGGTAGGTATGTATGTTCATAGTGTAATAGCAGTTGCTTTTCAGAAAGCTATTAATGGTCCCTTGGTTCTGAAAATCATAGTAAAAATGGTTTTACCTCTCCACCTTCAAACTAAACTAGTGAAATGGATTTGCTTGTGTGCCTTTTGTATTTTTCACTATCAGCATGCTGCCAGTACATTGTCATACTCGCTGTGTAAAATCTTCAGCCTGATAGTATTGACTATGGTCGGGCTGTTTTTGGAATGAGTAGTTGACCACAAAAGGAAAGGGAAGCAACTGAAAATGTGTGCAGTGAGACAATCAATTATAGAAGTTACACTTTAAGTGTTTTAACATCGTCTTCATTCCCCTTCCCTCTTCAAACAGTAAGAATTGAAAAAATAGTTGTTTGCAGTTCTCCAGCCTGTGGAGAATAAACAGTGTAGTTAAAAAGCTTACTCCAAAATGCCAGATATTGTGGCAGTTTTGAACAGAACAAAACTCCACAAACCTAAAACTTGGTTGTACTGCTGACTCAAATAGCGAGAGTTAATTTTGTGTAAGTGTGACATCAGAAAATGTAACTTCTGAGGTGAATAACTCTTACATGATTTCTTACACGTTTCCATTTTGAATCTTCTCTTAACCTCTAGGGTACTTGACTTATTTGGAGTTTGTCTGTGGCAACTTGCATAGTAACTTTTTTTGACACTGTGGGAAGGAGTTAGATAAAAAATGATGGGTTTCTAAGATTAGGATCAGAGACAGTGGGGGTTGCGTCATCAAAAAGTGGAGAGACACCACCTGAGCTTGCATTTGGGGGAGAGACTGGGAAGGATACAGAACAGAGTGGTGGGTTTGTGGCCTTTGGCCCTGGGATTTTGCATTCTAAACCTGACTATCTTAATATGCTGTTAGAAACAGTATTTAGTATGTTTAATTTCAATCTTAAAGAAAACAAAACAACACAGCCACACTAAGGCCCCAGGGGATATATTTAGGAATGTAAACTTTCTCAGCTTCCCCAAAGATTTAGAATTCATAATCTGCTAAACGTGGTTTTGATTCAACAAGTGCTTTCTAAAATCATTGAGACCGTTGGAGCTCATTTTCAACTGGGAGAAGAGGCTATAAAGCCTCCTTTACAAGGTTTGCCTCCTAACTGTCAGGATACTTTCAGAACTGGGAACAAGAAGCGATTCTCATGCCCTTTTTAAACCTTCATGTCCATTTCATTTTCTTCTTAAAAAACTTCAGCAGACCATATTGCTTGTTAATGAACCCTAGAATTCTGTGTTTGGGTACTGTTCTGTGTTGTCAATTTTTATATGGTACTTTCTCATCCTCCCCCACAAATGGTCTAGCTGTAATGATTGTTTAGCCTTAAAATCAATCTACCAAGTTTCAGAAAAGTGTCATTATGTATTTATCCTCTCAACCATAGGAAGGGACATGTCAGCACATTAGTCATTTAAAAAAATCTTCTGTTCCAGTTTAAAATGATCTAACATACTGAAGTCTCCCTTTTTGAGTCAGTAAGCACTCTATATTTATATTAATAAATATAACATTTTTAAAAGGTATGTAAGATGCCAGTTGTTGCAGGTGTTGAAATAGTTAGTCTGCTTGTAGCCATGCCATCTTGGACTGTGAACCCATCAGATCTCTCAAGTAGGCTCAAGCCTGATCAGCACTTGAATGCAGCTAAACCTAGGGTACTATAGGAAGTAGCGTTGGTGACTCAGTGAGTGGCACTATAACCTCTAAGCATCAGTCTTTCATTCACTTGTTCTGATGCTGGCATTCAAATAAGATTTAAAACCAATGTTCTTGTCATTTATGGTCCGGGATCAAATTGCTCAAAGATGGGCACATGCAATTATCCCTGCATAACTGAGATAAAATATAAATGTGCATGCAAAATCAGGTAGCTGCATACTTGTTGCCAGTTACCCATTTAACTCGCCAGACAGCTGCTCACACACCCAAATTTGCCTGTGTAATTGTGGTACTTGTACTTACTCATCTTTTAAAATCTGACCTCCAGTATTTCATAACATTTTTAACAAGCGCAGCAGTTGTCCTGATATCCTGGTCAAATGCTAATTTAGCTAAAAACGTGCTTTGTTAGAAATCCCCCTGTATTTCTTCTGTCCTAAATTGCTGAATGCAGCTTTTGCTTGCTATTAAATGGCTACACTATTTCAATGAAGAAATATTTCATCTTGAAATAGAAGCCAGTAAAGTGCTGTGATCTCCTTGGGGATAAGTCTCTTTCTGCATGTTCTCACTTTCCTCTCTGAGAGTTTCCACTTGTTCCAAAATTCATTGGGTTGTACTGATATCTTGCCGTTTAAAGTTCTCAAAAGCACTCTGGGTTGATTTTTGTTACAATGTACTGACTTTGTTCTACAGAACAAAAGGATAGTAACTAAGGGCTTGTCTATACTTACATTTTTATAGTGCTCTAACTCTAAAATCACCCCCCTGAGCGCAGCAAGTTTGAGCGCTTTAAAGCGGTAGTGTGGACACTACTCTGTTGCTATTCCCCTCATGGAGGTGGATTACCAGGAGCACTGGGAGATCTCTCTCCCAGTGCTCCTGTGGCAGCGCTTTGAAGTTTCTAGTGTAGATGTAGCCTAAATGATTTCTTGTAGAGAATATGGAATGGAGACTGAAAATGCTGCTGCTTGTAGATTAAAAGATATAATGGAAGGCGTGGTCCAGTGTCCCTTGTTTTTCTGGCAGGAGTGGTAGGGAGAAAGTGGTCAAGAGTGTTAATAAAGGGGGCACTGGATGGGTTATAGTCTGTATCTTTTTGTCACCAGTTAAAATCCAGGTCAGTAGTGATAGAAATTGCCACTTTTTAACATCTTTTTGGCATTTATTAAATGAGTTGGTGGTCTGATCAGCTTCTCTTGGCTATGTCACCGTGATAGCTTTGTTTGCAGTCTGAGGCCAAGCACTGATTCAACATTGAGACTAAACTAACTTTTTATCCAGATGGATGTTACTCTCCCTTCACCCCCCTGCTCATGTCAGAGTCAAGGCGTATTGACTCGGCAGTGTGAAACTTCTCACCTTGTCATTCAGGCCTTTCTCTTGGCGTTAAGATTGGAATGACTGTCTACTATTTCTATAGCATGGAAAACAAGACCTAGTCTGTTCATAACAGACTCAGTCTGTTGCTGTCCTAAGCACACTTGAAACCCTAAGCCTTTCAGCTGCAGAACCAACAGCTGCTCAATTGGCCTGATGATTTTTTTTTCAGAGGTGCTGAGCAGCCACAGGTCTCAGTGGAAACTAAGGATACTCGCTACCTCTGAAAATTGGACCAGGAACGTCTTGTCTGCTTCTGGTAGGACTTCCAGCTCTGCGTCTGTGCAGCAGCCCGTCCAGCCAAAAGAGTGCAAACTATGTTTTGTGAAAGCCAGGTGTACCACCCTTACCATATATCTAGTCACCCAAACTTATGCTTATGCAGGATAATGCTGAACTTCTGCCCTAACATAGAACTAAGTTGAGCTTCAGAACCCCCACGTCCCCCAACAAAAATACCCAACAACCCTATTTGCTTATTTTTCTCACTACAGGCAGATCCACGGTTTGTGTGGAATGGGCATCTTCTTAGAGAATTTGCTGCTCAGCCAGAGGTAACGTATGCTGGAAGTTTCCCTTAATAATCTATATCAAATGTAGCACAGATATAATATTCTGGAGAAAGTGTTTTAGTCTTGCATATGTCTTTATTTCAGATACCCAGAACGCTGGTAGATAAAATATTGGTTACTTGTCTGCTAGTTGTAGCAAAATTACCTGTGTGTGGGGAAGCTATTGACATTACATTTATCTGTCTTAAACTAATCACTTCATTTCAATTTCACTCAAAAGTCCTCTGATATCTGGTGAAATAATGACTTATTGAAAATGTCTGTTAGGGAAAAAAATAGACTTTGATATGCTTTATGCTAAGAAAAATAACACCAAGAAGAGGTGGGGGCAGTATGTGTCTAGTAATTGGAATTCTGCAAAATATTGAGCTCTGCTTTGCCTTATCTAAGGCGGATATTGTTCCCCAAGGATACTGCCTCTGTCTCTTGACACAGCCATGAGTTTGAGTCTGGGTTGCCTTTCCTCAAAATTTCCACACATGGTCAAAAGGACACTTTCAAGGTTTTTAGGCTAAATCAGCGTTACTTTTCAAACAAATTCTTCAAGAGATCATAAGCTTAGAGACATGCCAGGTAAATCCTAATATAAACTAAGCTGTACAAGTGCACAATGAAGGATCGTACACAACTATGTGTTTATATTGGGAATTTATTGTCACATGAAGTGTCGAGCTAAAAACCAACTTAAACTGGTCAATAAAGATGTCACTTGAGTTTCTGACATCCCTCTCCCCCAAATTGGACTATAATTTGTGGACTGCATAGGGAAAGTCCACACAAAGTAGGAAAGTCCGGCACAGAGATTCTGCTTCCAAAACCCACAGATGTCCCCAACAGTCACATGGCAGCCTGTACATCCACAGAAGGCAGCAACATTTTCATAAAGAACCAGGGCATGTACACTCTATTACATATAAGGGTGTTTTACTACTGTATTCTCTGTGCTGGCTGCTGCACCCACCCCCTGTAACCTCTCTCCACTGATGTAACCTCATAATGAAAAGGAAAGGGAAGACTTTATTGTAGCAGCCAGCAGAGAGAATGTGGTAGCAGACAACTTCGGGAGATACTGAAATCTTTAGAAGGGGATCATGATCTGGGAAGAAGGGGTTCCATGGTGTCTGGGACTGAGAGAATGCAGCAGAGCCATTGTTCAATACCTTCATTCCTGGTGACTTGATTCCTGATCTGCCATCCTTTTTCTAGTCTTTACACCATGTAGAGAAACATAGCATTATATTTGCAAACCACCTTTAACTTGTTTTAATTAAATGCTAATTAGTGTAAAGGGCAGTATATTGCCATATTTACTCTTGTGTTTAGCAAGTTATATCCAGATAACATTACACCCTTGGATATCTTAAGTCTAGTCTTAAATTATTCACATGAGCTAGACAATGTTTCTTAGCTAAGACTTGTATTGGTAGCTCCGAACTCAGCTAACACATTTGTTCATGTCATACATTGACAGTATTCACGTAGGTTTTAGAAAATACATCTAGGTATTAATTTACATTTAGCTTGTTTGTGGCAAAAATATTAAGCAGATCTCTGTTTAGAAGTGGGAGTACAAATACCCACTTATATTCCAAGGCAGCTTGCTATTACCAAGGTCATTCACTGACTCTCTGTGAGATAAGCATGGTTACAGAATGTCTTCTGCTTTACAGAGTGATGACTGGTAAGAAATATCACACTTTGTTGCTTTATTAGTGAGCAAAAAATCTTTGTGGTTGTGCAAAGAAATCACTTGTCTAGAAAACATGAAACTTTTTCTTATTCATTTGCAATAAATGTCCCTCTTCCTAAACTGAATTGCCTTTACAATGTGTGCCTTTTACTAGAGTTTCATACACTTGTCATCTATCTATTTCTTGGGTTAGTACTTGGAGATATCTGTTTTGTTAGACAACTTATATAAAATATATTTTTTAAATGTGTTATACAGTTTCTTTTGTATTTTCAGATCCATAGGTTTGCTCTTCCAGTGATGCATGGATGTATCCTTTTCGTGTTTTGTAACCTAAATTTGCTCTAGGTAGCTTCGTTTTGTTTTTTAACCTTAGAGGTTTCATCAGATTATCTAGGAGAATATTTGACTTTCTAAGGCAGAAAATGTTGATGGTGCAAGAGTTAACTGTAGTTGGCAACTGTACCACATAAATCTTCAAATAGTCTCCTCACAAAATTTGATGTATCTTGTCCTAATTGCAAACATATAGCATGTAATGATTGTAGGCAATTTATATTTTTGGACCGTCTGAATGCAAAGAGTAAATATTTTGCTTTTCATATTTAACACAATTTTATATAAACCACTCTTATAAGCATGATTTGAACAATCACCTTTCTAGTCTTGGCTGTTCTCTTGGAAGACAAAGCTCAGTTTAATAAATATTTTCACATCAATATTTATGTGATTATATCCTGCTAGACAGGTACTTTCACCTACAATATTACTAAATGTTTAGATGGTTAGACTGTGATCTGTTGAATGACATCTATTAAGTGATTTTTTTTTTCTTACAAGGACATAAATATATCAGATACAATTTAAACGGGCATTAGCAAGGCTAATAGACTTTAAAATAAGAGCAATGTTGGCTCATAGACTTTTAAGTCCAGAAGAGACCATGATGATCACCTAGTCTGACCACCTGCATATCATAGGCTGCAGAACCTCCCTCCTGTAATAGGCCATAACCTCTGGCTGAATTACTGAAATCCTTAAGTTGCAGAGAATCCATCATTTACTCTAGTTCAAACCAGCAAGTGAACCGTGCCCCACACTACCAAGGAAGGCGAAAAACCTCCAAGGTGTCCCCCAGGTCAGATTGGCAGACAATTCCTTCCTGACCCCAAATTTGGTGAGCATTTACACCCTGAACTTGTGGGGGAGACTCACCAGCCAGACACCTGAGAGAGAGTTCTCTGTAATAACTCAGAGCCCTCCCCATCCCATGTCACAGGAGTAGGCATGCACATTCTGCCATCTTTCTGCTCATCCTTTCAGAAATTGAAGGAAAGTTACAAGAATCCTTCTCTTAACAAACAGTGCTTTTGATATCAATACTCTACCTTACTCATAAGAATGATGCATGTAGCAGAGTATACACATGCATTCCCGCAATCCTAAACTAACTTGATATCTTGCATTGGCTGTAAACTAGTTTGCCTAACAAAAGCTGGGATTTTCAATTATATTACCGCTTTTGAGTTAGAAAAGGTGAAAAGCCCCAATCGGGGGACAACTGGGCTTTGTTTTGTTGGGGTAGATGGGTTTATGACAGGGTGCACTAGGCCCAGAGATCCCCTGCTGGAGGCCTCAGGGTCCTGCCACCCCCATCCCAGAAAAAGAGTAGTAGAGAAGTCCTCCAAGCAGCCTAGAGTGGCTGCAGCAGAAGCAGCCATCAGGGCCCCGGAGGGCCATAAAGAAAAGAGCTGCAAAGCCAGAGACAGTTCCTTGTTGGAGCCAGAGGAGTACAGTTGGTGCTCCTGGCTGCTCAAAGGGGACAGCTCAGTTCTGGCAGGGACCATGGCAGCGAGGAAGAGCTGGCTGGTTGCTGGGCCTGAACTTAGATGAGCCCTGAAGTAAGGGTGATGCTTCGGCGAAGACTGGGGCTGCAGGGAAGTGGCCCAAGGAACTGAAAGCAGTGTAATTAAAAGGACACAGTGGCACTTGACTGTTAACCTTAGGGTCCCTGGGCTGGGACCCAGAGTAGTGGGCAGGCCTGGGTCTCTCCCCCCCCATCCCCGCATGGGTCACTGGGGAACTGGTCTACAATCGGACAGTAATAAACCCCAGAAAAATGAACTATTTAGTGGCCTGGCTGGAGAGCTGGGTCCAGAGTAGGCCAAGGGGGTGAAACCATTGCCTTCAAGGAGGAAGCCCTGGGGGTACGGCCCGATAACAGGGCCGGGACTATTTAAAGACTGTAGACCCAGCCAACCAGAAGGGGCATTCACGAGAGATTGGTGCACGCTGTTACAGGGTCCTATCTGTTAATTTTGACTTTTGCTAACTTTGATAGTGACCTTTTCTTGTTAAAGCAAATATGATTACATAAATATGCTCTGTTCAGCAGTCTAGAATTCAACCACTCTGTCTCAGCGTGGAACCAGATACTGATTTGAGGAGACACAATGATATAATCTTCTTGGCTCAGGTTGGTGTCCAGTCTGTGCTGTTCTAGATTTCTACCCCAGGCTCTCTTCTTCCTACCCTCCAGTAAGCCTGCATGAAATAAAGAAGTATATCTTTCCCTGTGCTCACTTGGAAGGTGGCCCACAGCAAGTTTCCATGTGAGTTATTACATAAGATAGGAGTGCACAGTCAACACCCAAGGATGGGCTCTCTGACTATAGCCCTGTAGTTAATCAACCATAGGGAGTCTTAGAGATTAACAAAAGACAAAGTGTTATAAATTGAGAACATGGTTTACTTAGTATTAGAAAACTCCCCATTCCAGTAATCTCCCTTATATTTTAGGATCTAGTGATTCCTTCCATGGATAAGAAGGAATTTTTTCCAGCCCTCTATGCGCTGAATAATTGCATTGTGGGTAATAGCCTACTAGAAGCAAGTACTAAATTGGTTATACCACTGATCATACCACTGATCTGGCAAATCCTGTTTTTCTTCTTTGAGTGCTCGTCCTTCTGTGTATTCCACTGTGTGTATGCATGCACTATAGGCACTCAGTCAGAGAATTCTTGAAAGCAGTGTCCGTTGGTCTGCCATGTGCCCTTACAAGATAGAGCTTTATTCCAGGCTCTCATTTAGGAAGGTGGTAAGTTGGTTGCCAGGACCGCTCTTCAATCAGCAGTAGATGCAGCAGATTCATCTTCAAGTTCAATAGCAAGTGCGATCGTGATGCTCTGTGAATCATGGCTTTGCACTTTGGGGCTTCCCAGGGAGGTCCAGAACACCTGTCCTTCGACAAAACTCATCTTTTTAACCAAAAGACAAATAAGTCCTTAAACATTCTAAAGCTGTATATATTCCCACTCCCAGGGAATATATACATCTGCCCTGAAGAGAGAATTCCACAGGCAATCATACAAGCCTAGACAGATGGCTCAACAATTTTACTATTGGTTGTTTTATGAGCTACCCCGAAAGAGGCAAAAGGTTCAGATGTCCCATTTCCCTGCACCTTCTGCAGCAGCAACATCATCCCAACCCCAGCCCTGTCTAAATGATATTATTGATGGGATTTCAAAGCTGCAGACCAGTGAATGATGCCACCATCTGCCGAGTTCCACACATCCTTTGGGGATCACCTACCGTTCTTTTTCCAAAAGTGGAGTGCAATAACAATGGACAAGTGGGTGTTAAACATCATCCATTCTGGCTAGGCGATCAAATTTACCTCCCTGCCCTCCAAAACCCCATTGCTGCCTCTTTTCAGGGGTCATTTTCACAGAGATTGTCAAACAAGAAGTAGAGTCCCGCCTACAGCGAGGAGTGGTAGAGCGGGTGTCTCTTCAACACCAAGGAGAGGGTTTTTATTCGATATACTTCCTAGTACCCAAAAAGAAGGGTGGCTGGAGACCCATCCTTGATCTCTGCCATCTCAACTGGTTTATTTGCAAACTGAAATTTCACATGGTCATACTGGCATCTACAATCCCATCCTGAAAATGGTATGGGATTTACAGCTCTCAGTATCAAGGATGCATACTTCCATGTGGACATTCATCCTGCTCAGACCCAGCCAAAGCCAATCAGAAAATTTCCAAGTGTTTATCATCATAGCGGAAAGAGTCTCAGGTCAGGCTATATCCTCACAGAGGATCTCTAAATGGACCTTGGACGGTATCTTACTCTGATTGGTTGTCTCATCTTCCTCCCACTCATGGGAGGGGAAGGGCACACTACAAGAGCACAAGCAATAGCATCCTCACACCCTCCTCTTACTTGAGTACTGCTTGTCAATAATCCACAGTGGAATACACATAAGGACCAGCACTCGAAGAAGAAAAGTTACCTTATAGTGATGAGGTACTTCAAGATATGTGGTTTCTGTCTACCCACCTTCCTTCCCCTTTGCTTTGGATCAGTCTTGGATTTGTGGTAGAGAAGGAACTGGAGAGGTGGTCAGTCAGCTCCATTCTTCAGCTCCTCAGTCAGAGGCACGAGGAGAGCAAGGGCACATGCAGAGACCAACAGACACTGCTTTCAAGAATTCTCCCACTCTAGGTACATGGAGCATGTGTATGCACAGTGGAATACTGATAGGGCCCACACATCTTGAAGAACCTGCAGTTACTATAAGGTAAGTAACTTTCTCATTTTTATAAAACTCCTCTGGTATCGATCTTACCCTGATTCAAGAGAGATGAAGAGCGGAGAGATGGGGAATATGTCTAATTCCCCAAAAAGTCCATCCCTCCATTCTTAAATTCTCCGTAGGAGATCGATTGAGCCTACGATCTTAGGTTTATGGCAGTGTTGATAAACAGCCAAGTTTAGAGCTACTGCTTTTATTTCCTGCTGAATAAAATCCAAGCCCTGAGATATTTGAGGTGATCTCTGGATCTACAAGGATTTTAAGAGTTTGTGTATGTGGTTCTATGTCTAATTTTAGACCTTTATAGATCCCTCTCTAGGAACTCTTTATTGAGGGCATTTTGGGTGGCAGAGGATCTGTTTGTATATTCTCTTAACCAAACTTGAACTAGTTGTTGGGATTTTTTACAAAGAGTGCTGGCACAACTGTAAATGAAATCTGTAGTATCGGCCTAATGTGCAGTTACCCAACAAAGTGGGTTTCCTACACAGGATTTTTGTGGGGAAAAACACTCGGTGAGATGAAATTTGTGAGGTGAAATGTGTATATGTAAGTAATCAGCTGTATTTTTAAGAATTACAATTTTTTATGCTTGAATAAAAACCCAGAAAATTGATTTCTTTTTTTTATTGGAATAAAACTTGCCTTGCAGACCTTAGCAAATAGTAAGATGGTTAACATATTGGCTGTTCAAAAGACCAGAGCAGAGGGACAGGACAGCATGCCTATATTAAAAGCTAAAACAAAGCCTGTTAGTCTTGTCCTTTAAAGTTGTAGTTCTACCTTGCTGGCAATAGAGGGTAGTATAAATCTGTGTTCGGCATCCTGCTGCAGTACATGAGGAGTGCTGCTTTCTGATATTAGTTTGATGCTGTATTATCTAACATCAACTGAAAGTAGTTATGACCTTGACAGAACTGGATTCCTAAGTTAAATTGCCAGTCCTTAGCAACTATCCCCTAACAGTAAGGACTAGAATCTGATACCAAAGTGATGTGTAGGGCTTAATTAAGAGAACAGAAGTGTCTGTATAAACAGCTCCCCTTTAAGATTTCAGTAGGGGCTGTGTACATCTAAGGACAAATTTGGCCTATTGACAATGTAATGTTGTCCTGCCATGGTGTTCCAGGAGCATATTGTCAAGATGCACATATTATGAGAGAGCATGATCAGGTTTGAAGGCTTCTCTTCTAATTCTGGTTGCAGAAGGTGGGAAAAACTACTTTTAGAAAAAGATAACGCATTTCAGAAGGTGCTTGGTCTGCAGTCTGAAATTTTTTTCCGAGTTCAGGCCTTTTTTTTTTTTTTTTTTTGGCCAGGGCCTGAGATCATACATATGATGCTGATAGTATTGACCTATTTCTTTCAAATGTGATGGTTATTTGTGTTCATGGGTTTTTAATAGATTTAAAATGTTTTATCATTAGATGTGTCAACATTTTAATTTAATTTAACTGAAGAATCTTTGAGACCAGTCTCCAATCTCTTCATATCCCGTTTTCTCCTATTTATAATCGCTTCATATTTTTTTTAGTTAGTTAGCATCCCTTAAAACTTCCTCTGTCATGCACATACTGATTTTAGTATTAGGCTGTTGACTCTGAAGTTAAATATAATAAATAACTTGACATAGGGATAACAGTATATTTATACACATACCTACACATCAATGAATGTTTGCAAAAATTCTTTGTATTTATTTAATCATTTGGCCCTATGTCTGTGCCTGTTCCCTTTTATTTAAAAATACCATAGTAAACATTGCAAAATTGTGTGTTCCTTAACATGTTTACCAGTTATAGCTATGCACTCTTGTTCCATAAATGGAAAGTATTTTGACTGGCTGCTTATCTCTAGAAGAAGCTGTTTCAGAGCTGGTGTACGTTATTATGTGAGAGGTAGGATGACGAACAATGCAACCACTGTTGGAACGGTCAACATATCTGTAACGCGTTCATTTCTTATTTTCAAATGTCATAAGTATTTAACCACTTACATTACTGTTTTGTTCCATTCTGTCACAACCTGATGTGATTTTTGTGCCAAATATTTTACTTCAGTGTAATAACTGGACAGAAAAACAACCTTGAGCACAAAACTGCAGTTTCATATGCAGATGCATCTATTAAACGGCAAACCTCATTTATTGCTCCTTGAGGCATTTGATTTATGTTTAGTCCAAAAATTTAAAATGATGATCGTTTTAAATGAAACACTTGACAATACTGATTATCCTATAAATAAGCTGTTTATGGTGGTATTTACTTCAGTAAAATACTTTACATAAAATTTTCAAACTAATAAAGAACCTCACAAGAAAACATTTCTCATGTGCAGGAAAAGAAAATGTAAGCTGGGGCACACACACACACACCCCAACTACTGCTTTTTCTTGACTTCAAGCCAAAGGCTGAAAGGGAAGCAGACTGAAGTGCCTTCTCCTTACCAGTCTCTGCATGTTAAGGTTGAGGTGCATTGAGGAAGTGTGGACAAACTTGCTGCTCCCTGTGCCATAATTTTTCCATTGGAAAGATAGATTTCCGTGTCTGTGCTTTGGCATCTTTGTTCAGTATTAAAATAACTTAAGTATTTTTTAAGTTAGACTATTAAGACATGCTGGCAGTATAATAAAGGCCCTGCACTGACTGAATGATAGCAATATCTAGGTCTGCTCTTCTGAAAAATCCACACCGCTGAGCGATTTAGCTATGCCAATCTAACCTGCAACATAGATGCAGCTCAGTTAATGGAAGAATGCTTCCATCAACTTTCCAACTGTCCCTCTGGGAGGTGGTGTTCCTACACAGACAGAAAATCTCCTTCCATTGCTATATGCTGCGTCTACACTATATGGTTGTGCAAGCATAGCTACGGTGTCGTAGATATGCCATTATAGTCCCCATAGTGTAGACATACCCCAAGTCTCTGCTTCATGAGCTAACAGTGTCTCAGATGGTGGCTTTGATCTACAAGGCCACAGATTTCACTTATCTTCTGGCTATTCTGTATTGTTTCATCTTATTAACTGAAAAATGAGACCCCAATTCAAATCTAAAGCAATGGTGTTTGTGGCCGGTGTGAACTGGATTCTGTTTTTTCTAACTCAGGTATTGATTCAGAAGGACATGCAGCTAATTTTGTTGAAACAGAACAAATTGTACATTACAATGGGAGCAAAGCTTCGTTTGTCCAGGTAAATTCAGTGACTTATCAGAATGGATTGCGTGACTAGCTTAAGTTCAGCTGGCAAGTCTTATTTTCTTGTCTGCCCAAAACCTGATTTTACATTTAACAAGAAAAAACAAGTTAAAATATAGATGTCAGGAAGGTGTAATGAACAAGAACATGAAATTGCATTTGTCATTTGTTTGTTTCCTTTGTTTTCCAGACCCGTGGATCAATTCCTTTTTTCTGGTCACAGAGACCAAACCTCAAGTATAAGCCAAAGCCACAGATCAGCAAAGTAGTAAATCATGTATGTGTGTTTCCTTGGATGTGTGGGGGTAAAATGGAATTCAGTGTTTGCATGGATATAATGTGGTAATAAACTTAACATTGCTGCTCCTTCTCATTAACATACAGTCTGCTGTTTAAATCTGTTCTTAAAATTAAAGTCAAACATTACCTTTGCTACTTCAACTTTAAGAGACTTGGGCCAGTGTACTAACCTTTTTATCCATGGAGTCTTTGGCTCAAAGCTTGAATGAGGTCATAAGTATAAATGAGTGCAGTAGTCTCTTCCTGGTTCTCATTTGTGTATAGTGATAAAAACCACTGCACTATTGGGCACAAGTAGTAGTTTATACAAGAGAAGCCCAAGACTGTTGCAGAGGAGAGCTGAGGCGCATTGGCAAAGCGGTGTGCAGATATTTGCCTCATTTGAGCACCACGTTCTCATCCAGAAAACGACTTGTGCTGTTACATTAAGGGATTCTTGTAATGTAGCAATTTTAGTAAATTACAGACATGCATCTCTAAAGACCCATGATGTCACTTTTTTCTCCTTTGTTTTCTAGATGGATGGCTTCCAAAGACATTTTGACTCTCAGATAATTAGTTATGGAAAACAAATGATTGTTAATTTGGTATGCCTTTAATTATTCTGCTTAGTTAAATTGTTTGCCTCTCCTTTTTAAACAAATTTGAATGATTGGTATTACCATTTCATTTTTCACAGGTTAACCAGAAGGGCTCAGAGAAGCCTCTTGAACAAACATTTGCAAAAATGGTAAACAGCTTGGGAAATGGAATGGTCAGGTACATGTGAACTGAAATTATGATACATATGTGTATATTGTACATCTCTGGCTCCTTTAACAAACCTAAATGAAAAGTGTCATCAAATTGGTCATGGGGCCCTTATAAGATAAGTTAACTTGTATGAGAATTGCATTTTTTTTTAATACACATTGATACTGCACTGCTGGAAAAGGACATGTTCCCTGCCAGAAGAGTTTGCAATCCAACTGGAAATGATAGGCATGGGGTGCATGTAAAGGGAATTGAGAGACAGGACAGCAGCATAAAAAGAAGGGAGGATGAGGGTTACAGTAATAAGAGCACGTAGTTTTGGCTAGTGTGTCTTGAAAGTTCTGCTTGTTTCTTTGAAGGGCAGATGAGTGTTTATTGATTTAATGGAAGAAATGTGCTTCCAGGATGAAAGAGGTGAGGCATTGCAGACCAAGGGGTTCCAGGTGTGAAGTCACATGGAAAAAAGACACCAAGACAAGGTCATTAGGCGTGCAGCCTAAATGGAGCGTATGGGCCACAGGAGTGTGGAAAGCAAATAAATTATTATTAAATGTTCATGATTGCAGAAGTTGCAGGTGCATGTACAGTTTAACAATGGTGATTCATCATTTTAAAATAGTAATCTTCACTTATTGACTTGCTTTCTTTAACCCTGTTCTTAAATATGGAGAGAATAATATGGATTTTCCACAAATCTTAAATTTTTTATTTTTATTCTCCTGCAAGGGACTTAGACATTTGTTGGTGTCAGGAGTCCCTAACAAGTTTAGGGGCCAAATCCTGCCCTCTAGCATGAATGCATAATTCTTAATGACTTATGTAGAAACTGCACATGCACATTTAAGGGCAAAATTTAGCCTTGAATGCAGTTAATCTTGTATAGCATGCATTTGCATCGAATTTTTAGTTGTTTCCCATCGATCGATCATCATTTTACAAGGCTCTTACGGAAGGACAGGGAATTAGATCACTCACATGCGTCTGACGAAGTGGGTATTCACCCACGACAGCTTATGCTCCAATACATCTGTTAGTCTATAAGGTGCCACAGAACTTTGTTGCTTTTTACAGATCCAGACTAACATGGCTACCCCTCTGATACTTCACATTTGTCTGCGCCTTGCTGCCCTCTGCCCCTTCCAGCAGTTTTGCTGTAGATTTGCATATTTAGTCATACATGTTGATTTGTGAAGAGGAGGACATGTCTTTAAGAGCACTTCCAATGGAGAGTTTCTATTCAGTTTTCAAAGCTAGTATTGGTTATTACATCTTTGAGATAAATGACTTGTGGGATTCTTTGCACTACTTTTTGTAGAACTAAAAGCCGTTTTGCAGAAACTGAAGTGTAAAATCCTATCTCTTGCCTGTTTTTTTTTCTCAGTTGTAAGTTCTGCAGATGTTAACATTTAAAAAATTAATGGTAACAGTCCTATTTAGCATTTTGCTACTTTAATTGCTTTGCATGGCATTTACCTGCCATCAGTAATCATTCACAATTTATGAATGCCACCTCCAGTCCTGCACAAACCATCTAGAAGAGTCTTTAATAAAAAAAAAAACACACAGTCCCCTCCTCCAAGAATCTTACTCCTGTTTAGGGTGACCAGATGTCCCGTTTTTAAAGGGACAGTCCTGTTTTTTGGGACTTTTTTTTATATAGGTGCCTATTACATCCCTCCTCCTGTCCCGTTTTTTCACAGTTGCTATCTGGTAACCCCACTCCTGTTGTCTACAGCAAAGGTATACTTTTGCAGCCTGAACTTGTTTAATTTCTCTGCCCTTGTTTGGTCTCTTCTTTGTATAGATTCTAAACTCTTATCGCTGCGTGACTCTATTGTTTTTAATTTCCTATTTGGAAATGAGCACCCTGTTGCCATTAACTGGTTGTTGCTGGTGGTGGTGGTTTTTTTCCCCCCCAAGCGGGGGTGGGGGGTGGTGTTTGCTTGTGCTTGCTGCTATTTGATATTTGACCTCTTACTGCCAGTTTACTGAATTTTGACAAACTTTTCTCATCGTGGCCCACCTGCTTTTGTCCTGTTTCTGCCTCGCTCCTTTTCTAACGTTCCCATACTCCTTCCATCATCCTGTCTCATCGCCCATCCATTCCTTTGTACGTTATATGCTAGCTCCATCTCTTTGCCTCTGTTTCAGGAAATTAAAAAGCTACAAATGGTATTTATATAACTACATACAAAGCAGAAAGTGGCTTAGAAAAAAGCAAATGCAGGTCCACCTGCCCATCCTTCCTTCCCCATGTTGTCTTGTAAATGTACACTTGGATTGTAAGCACTTCAGGACAGGAACCATGTCTTTTTAGTTAAGTTGCCATGCACACTTATGGTACTATATAAACAGTAAATAGGAACTGATGACTGATTCAATCCCTGCTATTCACAGGTGATCTTTTATCAAAATAGAATTAACAATTAAAAACTATAATTACTCAGTAACTGCACTGGTCTACTGCAGAAGATCCAAGCCATGATTCCCATTCCAGGTTGATATCCTAGTCCACAAAGCATGAATGTGTTGCCATGGCAATGTTTGGAGGGAGGAGGAGAGAATGTTGCAGCTCCACACATACACGTATCCCTTTTAATGAGAAGGGCATTGATGGGTTCCAAATGGAGTTAGATTAGGAGATGGCAGCGGGAAAGAGAAGTCTTTCCTTAAGACTCCAACTGAGGCATGAAACCCACTTCCCTGCACCCTTTTGGGAAAAAGATAATTAGACAGAAGTGATTTTGTAAAATGTTAGTGAACATGTGCTTCCTTATCCTGCTTCCAGAGTGGTAGGATCATCTAAAGCAGTGATTCTCAACCAGGGGTCCAGGGCCCCCTGAGGGGGCCATGAGCAGGTTTCAGGGGGTCTGCCAAGCAGGGCCAGCATTAGACTCACTGGGGCCCAGGGCAGAAAGCTGAAGCCCGAGGCCTTGAGTCCCACCACCTGGGGCTGAAGCCAAAGCTTGAGCAGCTTAGCTTCGCAGGTGCCCCTGTGGTCCCAGGCAGTTGCCGTGCTTGTTACCCCCTAACACAGGCCCTGGCTTTTATATGCAGAAAACCAGTTGTGCCACAGGTGGGCCGTGGAGTTTTTATAGCATGTTGGGAGGGCCTCCGAAAGAAAAAGTTTGAGAACGCCTGATCTAAAGGAGTGCAGAAATTTGCATCCTTAAAATGTGCAAGATGACATTTCAGAAGAGGACAGAAAAGCAGGAAACATGTCTGATATTTATAGAACCCAGTTTTAAAGAATTGTCTTAAATTTTGGCTGATGTTGGCAAATCTTCATCTGAAGGAGATCATTTCTCTGCACTTCAATATTTATCAATCAAAAAATTACCTTTTTAAAAATACAACTTTACTGTGATCTCTTCACATCAGTGAAGAGTGCCCGTGAATTTATTTTATCAGATGTGCTTGTCTCTGAATAGATATATAGCATTTGACTTCCATAAAGAATGCAGTCGAATGAGGTGGGACCGACTCCAGCTCTTGATGGATCAACTCGCAGAACAACAAGATGAGTTTAGGTAATCTCTCTCTCTATAGCACTATGTGGACATCTTGTGGTGGCTACCATAAAGTGATAGATTGTTAGATGCCCAGCAGATCCATAGAGCAGAATCTATATCCTCAAAAGTAGATCACTTTCTCATATGGATTCTATGGCCTTGAGTTGAAGATGCATATGCAAATGAGATAAAGATTACAGGGTGGAGTGTGCAGATACCTTGTGTGATCTCTCACTCCTGCTCAGCAGCAAAGTAGAGGCCTTAATGTGGTTTATAATGCAATCACTCACCATGGTTTTGGTTCTGTGAGTAGTTGCAGCCAACTAAGCTGTGAAGGAGAATTAAATTTCCTTCTTTTGGTGAAGGGATGAGGGGTAAATACAAGTCTGCCTATTACATGTGCTTGGTAATTTCTCATTCACAACTGCTTATCTGTTTTCATTGTGGTAATTTCACATGCAGTATTAATGCCATATGTGAGCAACCAGACACCAGCCCTTCCTGATTTAAATTTTTTTTGGATTCACAAAAAAGTAGCAAACGTCCAACTTGATTTAATATCCTTTCCCCCAGTAAAGTTATTTCATATACGAAATGAATTTGTATGATCTATGTGAACAGTTGTTGCTTAATGCATTAGTTTTTATTTTATTATTCACCGCTCATAGATTTATAGGTTATGAAGGGAAAACTATTTACCTTGTAGTTCTGCTTCTTTGAAGATATCATCGTCACCGTTTGGGTCTCAAGTCTACAGCATGAGGCAGACCAGGAACTCCTATATCTAGTGTTTTGAGGGCTAAACCCCCATTTCCACACACATGGTTGTCTTCCCCTGTAATGTGAGGAACAGCCCACTGAAACCTCTGCCAGTTCCATTTATGAATGAAAGCTTGAACCATTGATGTAGGCTGACCTAAATCCCTCACTCTGTAGGGATCGTACAACCCAAACACGCTCCTGAGGAAATAAAAACCTGAAAAAGAGCAGCCCATAAAATCTGAGAGGAGGTGAACAGATAAGAATCATGTGAACCCTTCAGAGAAGCAGAATGAACAAGTAGTTTTGTCTTTCTAATACCAGCTGTATAGGATTCTCAACCCTAGAATGAGTAACTGAGAAATGTCATAATACACTGTAGCACGTAGTGAACTATATAGGCACATGCCAAAACCAATCAGCTTTCTTTAAATAAAGGGATGGAACTGATGTCTCTCAAAATAAGGCATTAAACAAAGTTATTTGATTTGTTTTATGAGGAGTCCTCAAAGTATGGCTAACACTAGGGAGCTGGAGAGTTTGGGCTCTCTTGAAAATCAGATTCTGCAGGCCTGAGACAAAGGCCTTGGCTACACTTGCAGATGTCCAGCGCTGTAAGTTAAACCTGACTTCGTGCAGCTGAGTAGGGAAAGCGCTGCAGTCTGTCCACACTGACAGCTGCCCAGCGCACTGTCGTGGCCACATTTGCGGCAATTGCAGCGCTATTGGGAGCGGTGCATTATGGGCAGCTATCCCACAGAGCACCTTTTCCCATTCTGGCGCCGTGGGTTCTGGGAAGGGGGCGTGGGTGCGCGGGATTCTGGGTCCTGTCCCAATGCCCCGTGATGCCTCGCTTCGCATCCCAGAAATCCCTTTGTTTCCATCCACCTTTGGCGCCATCTTTCAACGGTTTCTGTGCAGCGTGATCTGTCTGCGGGAAATGGAGTCCGAACTGCTGAGGCATATGCTGACTTATCTCGCCAGCACATCACGTTTGGCTGTCGAACTATTCCTTAAGATCCAAAGTGACAGTGAGAGTGAGGGTGAGGAGTCCGACGATGCTATCGAGCCGCGTAACGCGTACGACACGAAATTGCTTGTGGCATTCACGGACATGCTCAGCACCGTGGAACGCCGCTTTTGGGCTCGTGAAACAAGCACCGAGTGGTGGGATCACATCATCATGGAAGTCTGGGATGACGAGCAGTGGCTGCAGAACTTTCGGATGAAAAAAGCCACTTTCATGGGACTGTGTGAGGAGCTCACCCCTACCCTGCGGCGCAAGGACACGAGATTGAGAGCTGCCCTGCCAGTGGAGAAGCGGGTGGCTATTGCAATCTGGAAGCTGGCAACTCCAGACAGCTACCGGTCGGTCGCAAACCAGTTTGGAGTGGGAAAGTCGACCGTTGGAATCGTGTTGATGCAAGTTTGCAAGGCCATTAATCGCATCCTACTCAGAAGAACCGTGACTCTGGGTAACGTGCAGGAAATAGTGGATGGCTTTGCACAAATGGGGTTCCCTAACTGTGGAGGGGCGATAGATGGGACGCACATTCCTATTCTGGCATCACCCCACCTAGGATCCGAGTACGTTAATCGGAAGGGGTATTTCTCTATGGTTCTCCAGGCGCTTGTGGATCACCGTGGGCATTTCATTGACATTAACACAGGCTGGCCCGGAAAGGTGTATGACTCACGCATCTTTCGGAACACTTGGCTGTTCAGGAAGATGCAGGCCGGGACTTTTTTCCCAGAGCGAAAGATCACGGTAGGGGAAGTTGAAATGCCCATTGTGATCCTTGGAGATCCCGCTTACCCGTTAATGCCGTGGCTCATGAAACCCTACACAGGGAGCCTTGACAGCAGCAAGGAACGGTTCAACTACAGGCTGAGCCGGTGCCGAATGACTGTGGAGTGTGCCTTTGGCCGTTTAAAGGGCCGCTGGCGATCTCTGTATGGGAAGCTGGACTTGGCCGAAAACAGCATCCCCGCGGTTATATCCGCGTGCTGTGCCCTCCATAATATTTGTGAAGGGAAGGGTGAAAGCTTCACTCAGGCATGGACCTCCGAGGTTCAACACCTGGAGGCTGAATTTGCACAGCCAGAGAGCCGGGCTATTACAGGGGCCCAACGCGGGGCTGCAAGGATTAGGGATGCCTTGAGGGAGCAATTTGAGGCTGAAAACCAGTAGTGATATCTGGTGCCCTGCACGGGAGTGAAGTGCAGTAGTTCCAATTTTTAGGAATCCGTGTCTGCTTAGCAGACAAGCAGACTTGCAGTGCCTGTTTATTTCCTGGGCTAAGGAGTCTTTTACTTTAGGCAATAATAAAGAATGTTTTCAAAGCCAAAGAATCCATTTATTGAAAAGAAAAAAAATTTATTTATTGAAAAGAAACAAGGGGGTGAAGTGGGGAACAGTACAATCACAGATTCGCATATGTCCTGTCTGGTGTGCTGTGCAGTGAGTGCTGCACTTCAGGACAGCTATACTGCCTGGTGATGGGGGTTGAGTGCAGAGGGTAAGGGTAATGGTTTTCAGGGCTGGGTAGTGAAGATACTGGTGTTGGAGGCAGCGGGTGGCGTGATGAACACGGAAGTTGGGGAAAGTGGGTTGGAGGTGACAGTGGGGCACAACGGAAAGAGTTTTGGGACAAGGGCTGTGGGGGGGGGGGTGGCATTTGCGTTTGCGGTACTGCTCCTCTTTCTGCATGGCTACCAGCTCCTGGATAGCATCTGCTTGGCGCTCCAGGATGCTTATGAGCCTATCAGTGCTTTGCTGCTGGTGCGCGGTGCTTTGCTGCCGGTGCGCTGCGTTTTCCTGGCGGATCCTGCTTTCTCTCTCCCTCCAGTTCTGTGCTTTCTCATTCTCTTTAATAGATTGCCGCATCACTTCTTGCAGCATGTCTTCTTTGCTTTTTCGCGGTCTCTTCCTGAGTCTTTGCAGTCTCTGAGCAGGCGATAAGAGGGACGGCTGAGGTCTCAAGGTTGATGCAGCTGTATAGGCAAAATGCAACATTTAACAGAGGCAGCATTGTTTATACCAGACAGAGTAATGATTCCCCCCGCACTTAAGGAGTAGAAAACACACAGGGTCTACACAATAGCATAATTTTCCCATCCGAAACAGAGCACACACATCCCACGGGAGCCTCAAAATGGTGAGTAAGGGAGACTGATTGTTTCAGGGCTGCACTGTCCTCTGGGTTTCTGTGCCTTGGGGAGAGCCAACAGCTTCAGGGGGCACCTACACTGAACACTGTCCCAACATTTTCCACAGGAGTTCGTCCTGGACGATATCTCGCTGCTGAGGGTGACCTGGGAAGCAAGGGAGGGTCTTCTACTGCAATGCGGCTTCCGCCCTGGCCCATATGCAGCTTGCCTGTGTGCAGCAATGGTCCCCCCGCCCCTCGCAGCACAGTGGCGTGGACACGATAGCCTGGCTGGGACAAGGACCACGGTGGCTCTCCCGATAAACCTGCGCAAGCGCATTGCACACGTTCTGGATGAGACATTCGAGGAGATTATCGAGGCCGATTACCGCAATGTGATAAACCACATCAATGCACTATTCCGCATCTAGGCATGCATGCCTAACCCTCCTCTCCCAAAGAGCCCACACCGAAAAAATTCCTTCCCAAAAAAAAAAAAAAACGCTTACCGGGAACCTGCTCTTCTGTTTGTCCTCCACCAAGTACTGGCCGCTGCAACTGGCTACCTTCCTCCTGGCTCGAGAAGAGCTCTTGGCTGCATGGCTCCAGGGATTCTGGGGTGTCTCGATCCGGCCCACCACCATCACTCCCATTTTCCTCCTCCTCCCCCCCCACAACGGCTCTGAAGTGTCCATGGTGGTGCTCGGAATGGAGGTGGGGTTAACCCCAAGTATCGCATCCAGCTCTTTGTAGAATCGGCAGGTTGCAGGGAGAGCACCCGAGCGGCCATTTGCCTCGCGGGCTTTGCGGTAGGCACTCTGCAGCTCCTTCACTTTAATCCTGCACTGCAGGGCGTCCTGGTCATGGCCCCTTTCCATCACGTCCTTTGATACCTTCCCAAAGGTATCGTAATTCCTACGTCTGGAGCGCAGCTGGGACTGTACAGCTTCCTCCCCCCAAACACTGATGAGGTCCAGCAACTCGCCATTGCTCCATGCTGGGGCTCGCTTGGCACGTGGAGGCATGGTCACGTGGAAAGATTCGCTGATAGCACTCCACACCACGCCGGGCTGAGCAAACAGGAAGGGGATTTTTAAAATTCCCGGGGAATGTAAAGGGTGGGTCACATGGTTGGTTACCTGAGGCCAGGGCAGTAGAGTTTGAACTGATGACCAGAGTGGCTAGAACAGGCATTGTGGGATACTGCCGAATAATTCTGGAGGCCATTCACAGTGCATTGGGTGGCCACACTGGCGCCGCTGCGCAGCAGCGGCAGCGCAATACTTGCTATTCCTCTCGGAGAGGTGGAGTACATGCAGCGCTGCAACCATGGAGATACAGCGCTGCAAATGCCTTGCCAGTGTGGACGGGGAGTGAGTTACAGCGCTGGGGGAGCCTTCACAGTGCTGTAACTCGCAAGTGTAGCCAAGGCCAAAGAAGCAGCATTCTTCTCTAGAGGTTGAAGCCAAGTCTTTGTAATTGTGTAGTGTAAGGATTGTGTTATTACCATGCATACATCACGACTACAACATACTTGAAGGTGGAAGTGGAACCTGCTCTTCCTCCGATAGGGAATACCAAGGTTCATAGCAACTGCAAGCTAAGTTATTGAAGTGTGTAATGCAGTAGGATAACCATTTAGACAAAAGTTTATGCCCAAATAAATTTGTTAGTCTCTAAGGTGCCACAGGGACTTCTTGTTGTTTTTGCTGATAAAGACTAACACGGCTACCACTCTGAAACCATTTAGACACTGTTCCTGATAATGCTATGCGTTCACTATCTGCTACTGGAAGAAAAGTATAGATAATATGTTATCAAATAAAATTAAACACAAATGGCAAAGAATTTAACTTGGGGAAAGATTGTTTTGGGTAACTAAAAAACCTGTTACAAAGTATGGAGACATAGAACATATATTTTGAAGTGGATTATTTTAGGTACCTATTTATATACACATTTAAATGTATCGTGGATCTTAGTTATTTTCTAGTTGATTCTGATGGTAAAGTGGTGACTCAGCAGGAAGGAATATTCCGCAGTAATTGCATGGACTGCCTGGACCGGACTAATGTGATTCAGAGCCTATTAGCACGTCGTTCTCTGCAAGCACAACTGCAGGTCAAGATTTTTTTCTAATTTGTTTTTGTTTTTTCAAAGCTCTCTCTGCGGGGGAGGGAGGATGGGTCCTCTGTCAGGAATTAAGTAAAACCAAAGTTTGTAGTAGCTTGCACTCATAAATTGCTTTAGTACTTAAAGACCTGCTTGAAATTAAAATGTACTGTCCAGCTTTTAGCTGGATGAAAAAGCTATGTCCTACATAAACTTAAATACTGACTTCCTGAGTTGCTATTGAATTGTAGTGTTTTTTGTTCTAGAGGTTAGGTGTTCTGCATGTTGGACAGAGAATTGAAGAACAAGCACAATTTGAAAAAATCTACAAAAATGGTAGGTTTGTCTTTAAAGTTAAATTACTGTTTTTCAAATAAGGACCCAACAGCCTTTTTTTAAAGGAAAACAGACATAATTCTGTTTCTCTGTTCACAGCATGGGCTGATAATGCGAATGCTTGTGCCAAACAATATGCTGGAACTGGTGCCTTAAAGACAGACTACACAAGGCAAGTTAGAGACCGTTCTGTTTTGTGGACAATGCATTTTTGTAACTTAATTATCTACAGATTGATATTTCAATTTTCCAGACATACATTAACATGTAAGCTGGTAATATTAACTACCTCTTACTAGAAAAATTCAGCCTATGTCAACATGATATAATAAACAATAATATACCTTTTGTAGTTTAAAAAAACATTAAAAATCAGGAAATAAAAATCAATATGGGTTTATAAAATATTCCAGCTTGTTTTATTGCATGATGGAAAACTGGGTCTCTGAGGAACCATTTTCCTGATTTTACTCACAGATCTTTCCATCCTTTCTTAAAACTTTTTTTTCATAAAAATCTATTGCCTATCGGAGTTAGACATTGCAGAGGCAGCACTAGACAGTTGCATCTTTGTTCTTAAGTATAAATATGATATGATATAAATACGATTGTTAATACAAACCTGAAAGGTTCATAAAACTGAACATCACTTAGTATAACTTTCTACTTTCAATTTGCAAACAAATTAATTCTAATATGCTCATAAAACCACTTTTTTACAGAACTGGGAAGAGAACTCAGTGGGGCCTAATAATGGATGGCTGGAACTCATTAATACGTTACTACAAGAACAACTTTTCTGATGGATTTAGACAAGTATGTAGGGTTTTTTTCTTTTGCAGATAGGTACTTAGTCATTATTGCTATGCATTTTAACTCTGTATGTTTCTGTTACAGGATGCTATCGATCTGTTTCTTGGAAATTATTCAGTGGATGAAGTAGAGTCTGTCAGCCCTCTACATATACAGAAGGACTGGAAGTTCTTGGCTGTAAGGATTTTTTTTTTTTTTTTTTTTTAATAAGCTTCTATTCACACTTTTGGAAACTAAATGCTTTGTTTCTTTTATTTGCTTTAGTAAACCTAAGTAGTTACTGACTGTTTATGTGGGGCCATTTGTGTCTTCTGGCCCTGTTTTTTATGAGAGGACTAAGTCCAGAACATCAGCCATGACACAAAGGGAGCATCCCTCAGACATGGAGTTGGAAGGAAAGGGGCTCTTTGGCCAATTGTGCCCCTACTAGAAAGATTGGGATTCTTCTTGGATCTCTTGCTTTATCTGTTCATTAAGAAAGAAAAGTGGAAAGGGATAACCATTTTTAATGTAATAAGAGCCATCGTTGATCTAAAAAGAATCATAAAGATGATGTCATCTCACAAAGGCAAATACTGGTTTCTGTTCTCTTCGATGTCAGTGCCAAGATAGTCAGGAAGGGGAGGCTAAACGCTAACTGAATTTCAAAACTGCAATTATGACTAAAAAGGTCACCGTAGAGCACATGAGGGAAATGCAGAAAGTAGTAATATACTCTGGAGAATACCTACACTGACCCCTTCTGTTCTATACACTCACTACACAAGTGGGATAGATTAACACTGGAGACTTATGAAGGGTTGTTCGAATACCCAAACAGAACTAATGAACTTGATCTTTCAGTGAGCCTAAACAGGCAGGCAGAAACCAAGCATATTATCCTCTAATCTTAAATATACAGTTAATGCATTATTTAGATTAGCTCTAAAACTCAGAAGGAGACTCTGTTTTACCGAATCAGGACATCAGAGAAATGATGTAACTTTACCTGCTACAACGCGAATTATAAATATAATTTATTGAAGGAAATAATCAATACAATCCTATATTTCCTTTTTTAATTCTGTTTTTCTTCTTCCTCAGTTGCCTATTATTATGGTCGTTGCTTTCTCAATGTGCATTATCTGTTTGCTTATGGCTGGTAAGTCACTATTTGGCCTACATTTGCAAAATTCACTTGCAGGCATACACTTAAGATGTTGGAAGCTATTCACTGGGTATGTGCTTATGAGTTATGAGATATTCAAGTCATACCTCTAACCATACAACCTGGAGCTATGCTTTTCTGGGTCAGGCCTGGTCAGTACTTGGATGGGAAAGCTCAGATGCTGCAGAAAGTAGTGCTGGACATACAGCAGATGGCACTCTTCCCTCTGTTGAATCAATGTTACAGCGGGATATTATGAGTAATCACTTCTCCTTAACATAATGGTTGAATCAGGTATAAAATTGTTAGTTAATAATCCTATGGCACTTCTTAAAGGAGTAGAATTGATAACGCTGACATCCACACCAACCCCCTATTTAGGTTATGTTCTGCTTCCCTGAAACTCCCCCCTCTGTTTCAGTTGGATAAGGTATTCACTTGGAGTGTCTCTACATTTTGGGGGGTCGGGAGAGACCAGCGGCAGCAAATCTCAGAGGCTGGGTCTGCAGACTTCGACTCATGCTATGGCACTAAAAATAGCAGTGTAGATCTTCCTGCTTGGGCTGGTGTTTGGTCTCTGAGACTCACCTCCCTTGCTGGGTTTCGGTACCCAAGCAGGAATATTTACATTACTGTTTTTAGCACCATAGTGGGAATCCCGTGAGCCTGAGTCTGTTGACCTGGGCTCTGAAACTTATTGCCACGTGGCTGCTTTTTTTGCAGTGTAGACATCCCCTTAATGACCTAAATTCTTGTATAGGTATGTGCTGTTAAATCAGGGGTTCTCAAACTGGGGGTCATGACCCCTCAGGGGGTTGTGATATTACATGGGGCTCATGTCTGCCTCCACCCCCAAACCCTGCTTGGCCTCCAGCATTTATAATAGTGTTAAATATAAAAAATGTGGTTTTTAATTTATAAGAGGGATCACACTCAGAGGCTTGCTGTGTAAAAGGGGTCACCAATACAAAAGTTTGAGAAAAGTTAAATGGTTACCAATCCTACCCCTTTTGCTTAGAGGCTGACAGCATTTCAGTGGCAGGTCAAGTGTTTGCTATATAGGTCGTAAATCAGTTTACGTTATGAAATTGCTTTGGAATCTCTCTGAATTAAGGTCTATGTGAATGTCAATTTTTAGCCAATGTAAATTAGCCTCTGCTTAACAGCAGAATATTAGTTTCCGAGCTAGGAAACTCTCAGAAGGAAATATACAGTACAAAATAACAGGCTCTAGTATATGTGAAGCTGATCTGAAATTTCAGTTCTTGATAAAAGCTTCCTTATGAGCACTTTGCGAACTATTTTATTGTCATGCTAAAAATGCTCTCTCCACTATTTATTGAAAATGACTTACTATAATGTTTATCTGATTATAGGTGATACATGGACTGAGACACTGGCTTACGTGCTCTTCTGGGGAACTGCAAGCTTTGGAACTTTAGCTATCATCTTTTACAATGGCAGGGATTTTGTAGATGCACCAAAACTGGTCCAGAAAGAGAAGATGGACTGAATTTGTGTGTGTGGAAAGCGGCTTAGCATGGAGGACTCCTCAAGCCATACTTGGAGTCTCTACTGACCTGCTTTCCACACCAACTAGTGGTCTTTCTAGCTTTCATCTTTACGGAGAGAAAAAGTAAATCGTGTCCTTCACTTGGTGGTGGGAATTTACAGTTGAGATCTGGTTTTACAGTCTTAGTCACAATGATCTTTGGAATATTGCATTAATTGAGGAGGTTGCACTCATAAGAAGATAATTTACAGGTGAAAGCCAAAATATCCATATTGTCTGTGGAGTATTATAGGATTCAAACTGGCCTACTAAGTTGACAGCCCAGCAGGGCAGTTTCATTCAAACATGATCTCATAATCTTAACAGAGATCTCTGGTTCTGTTCACGTGTTACCATATCCAGCTGTGGCAGAATTAGTAATATAGAGTCACATCATGTTCTTTGAGCTAATATAGCATCCTACTAATAAGTTTTCTTTCTAGACTTTCAGCTGGGTTTCATTTGTCATCATAAAAGCAGTCACTGTTAGCACAAGTCCTTTGCATATTTTCATTAGGGTAGAGAATCATACCTTACTGTTTTTATCAAAATGCAAGTCTTCTGTTCTGCCTCATCTAGGACTGATGCAATATTCTATTAAATCATTGGGAGGATGAGTTACTGGTGGACATTTCTGAAGTTGCAAATGTCTTGCACTACCTAACTACTGCAGTCTTCAGATGACTTTTTTATTACAGCTAGACAGCAATTTAAGTGTGATTCGGAAGTTCAAATTAGGTTGTCTTTTTTTAAGATGTAAATGAAATCAAAGAATGTAAAACTTCTTTACTGTGTTTATTGACCCTCATGCTAAAGGTCCAAAGTATTCCATAGTTAAAGAACAGTCACAATGTAGAAGGTACACCACATTGTTTTGCCAGTCTCTTGCTTCTGTACCTTTTGGTTATGTAGGATAACCTGTGGAAGAAAGAATACAAATCTTTGAAGTGACAGTCTTCTGCTAAATTCCATGTTTGCACTTAGGGGAAGCAGCAGCAGCAGCTTGCTTTTCATGCATGATAAAACTCTAAAAACTAAGCTATGAAAATAATTTGTTCTGATTATCAATAAATGTGTGTCTTTAAATTTAGTGCTTCCAATCTACATAAAATAGCTAATCTGAATCAAGGACCAATTTTAAACTATTTTGTCACTTGTTTTATGATTAAAGTTCAAAACCAGACTGAAATTTGCTTACAGCACTGTGCATTGTTTAATATTTCCTGTAAGTACAGTTGTATATCCAGATTGCAATTATGAAGATTAAATATTAGAAAAAAAGTAGAATACTAGGGTTAGCACGGTTGTCATTAATGCCCTAGAACACAAAACACTGCATCATCAGTGTTTCATTGTTATTGAAAATACGTACAGTTTTTTTTGTTTTTTTGGTTTTTTTTTGCAATAACTGTTCATTTTAACCTTGAATGTTTCTGAAGGCCTATTTGGGTTTTGTTAAACATTACTTGTTCATAAGCACTAGTAATAAAAATGCAGAGTACCTGTTTGCTTTTAGATGCTACAATGGAAATACCAGTTGACAGTTTTACTGAGAAATTCTCTGTAACTTAATCTCAGACATCAACTCCATAATGGGGAAGAAAGTATAAGAACTCTATAGTTAAATATTTAAATAATGGTTTGTATGCCTCATTGGCAGGTGATTTGAAACTTAGCTCAACTGTCTTACAGTGTGTATCTAAATCTTTCCGTGCATCTCCCGTTAAGAGTTTGTTGCAACAAAGACCAAACCTGGACTGCTACTATAACCACATTGCAAGAACTAGAGTAATGTAGGTTTTGAGACTTGGAAGGGCATCTGTATTCCAATGCTTTGCAAGGAGATTGTATTTCTAAATTCACATATGGTGTACTCATAAATGACAATAAAACTTTAATCTTTCTTTTCTAGATCCTGACAGTTCTGTTTCTGTATTTTAGTTGAAGGGTTAAAAAAAATGCAAACTTTAAAAATTGTTTTTTGGAAACTGCTGATCATCAGAAAGGTACATTCTGAGTCATTAATCTGTAAATACAAAATTAAAGGCCTTCTATTTTTATACTTAATCCACTAAAAGTTGAGTTTAAAATTAAGATTTTAATTAGCATAATATGTTCCATTTCCCTCTGCCAAGTATGGATTTTACCTCTCTGAAAAAAGAAGTGTTTGGGAGACAAAGGAGAAGTTTAGAAATAAGACCTGAAGTTAGCTTCCCTACTTGAGTCTATTCTTTGTCCCTCCCTTTACAAGGCCAGCTTAGACCACTGTTCTTGATTGGCTCACAGAGTGTTAGACACATGAGGTGAAGACTGCACATCTTATTATTCTTCAGATAAACTGCTATGGTAGCGGTATTACAATCGGCTCCTTCTATATTTGCTTTAATGACCTTTTTGTATCCTCAAAATTAGAGGAATGGTAGATTGCCAAGGAATCACATGTATCAGAAACCTGCTAGAAACAGATTCTTGAAGAGAGATGGGCACTCTTATTTTTATATATATATACACACACACTCCAAAGATTCAGAAAAGGATGTTTCTGAACTCTGAATCTCAACTTTTGGCAGACTTAGGACTCTAGCCCTTAAATTTACACGAGACCAAGTGTACATTCGTATCAAGATGATACTGAACTAGCAGTTACTATGGATGATAGTTCTGTTATCTCAACCACCCTTTTCAAAAATGCCAAAGGAGGAATAGAAAGTGTGTCAAGGTGAAGATAGTATATGTGAGCTGTACAGCAAAAGAATGTCTGTAATTTATTGAAAACAGGCACCTCTGAATGTATAGAAGCCTTTTATTTGTTTGTTCCAGCTTGACGGTACAAATGCACCTTAAAAACACCACACTCTCTAGCTACTACTATGTAGCAAATTTAAATGTGGGTACTGAAATGCATCCAACTCTCCATTGTAGAGTAGCAGCCAATCAGACATCATTTAAAAAGTGAGGAAAAAGGGAATTTTGGTTAACAAGTCTTTCCTTAAAAATGCCATAGAGTCTCTACTGCCAATACAAAGTAGCTACAATCTTGGTTTTTTGTTTGTTTGTTTGTTTGAAGTATCATGTTTAACTAAGGGCACAGAGCTAAAGTGGAAATATGTCAATATTTTATTCAAAGTCCCTTTTACTTGTTAAATTCTGATTGTAGAATACTCATCTTTACCATTATGGAAACAATTACATATTTTCTTTCAATTGGCATTGTGAGTGATGTATAGGGTGACCATACATACTGTTTTGGCTGGGACAGTCTTTTTTTGAGCCTGGGTCCTGGATGTCCTGACTGTTTTTTTGGGCAAAACTGGGCATTTGTCCTGTTTGCTTTTGCAAATGGGACAAATGCCCAGTTTTGGCAAAAAAGTCAGAATGTTGTCTCAAGCAAGTGATAACTCCAGGTGCCTCAGGCTGACAACCCCACAAGTGGCAGGGCTTGGGCTGACAGCCCCACAGAGGGGAGGTGTCCCATTTTCATGTTGGGAAATAATGGTCTACATCAACAGGGGCACCATATTAGTATTTATTTATCACAGTGCTATAAATAAACCTGTAGGTGAATGGGGTTCATTTGCACAAACGTTTATAGAGTTTTGTTCATGCAAATAATTATGTTGAATTGCATGGACTTGGACTGGAACTATATCACTAGCCACACTATAGATCGGTCTTGCTGCAGTACAGCTGTAGTCGTCAGATAAGTTTTTTTTTTTTTTAATCTGTCCTTTATACCTTCCTTGGAAAGTACACAGCATTCAGAATCAGTGTTCCCGCCAACCAGTGCCTAGGACCAATCACCCCGTGCATTAGACTTACTTTCCAAAACTCTAACCTGTGAGGCTGTACCATAGTTGCTGCTCTTTCCTGGGCAGAGTTGGGCCATTTGAATTCTGACAGTACCTGCTGTGCATGGAGTCTAAGGCAGATCTAAAGGGGAGTGCTACAGCATGCCTAGAGGCTGGCACCTGGGGTAAAACAGTAAATAGTCTTGAGAGTGCTGCTGATTCTTGGGATGGGCTGGGCCGGGCCCTTCTGCAATTCTCCACTAACCAATACAGGGGCAAGGTGGCTCTGGGGGGTTGGAATGCAGGGGGGAGACAAGCCGGTGTAGTGTATCAGGCTAGGTCTACACTACAGCGGGGGTCCGACCTAAGATACGGTGAATACCGTAGCTGAAGTTGCGTATTTTAGGTCGGCTTACCTGGCAGTGAGGACGGGGGAAAGTCGACCGCTGCCGCCGACTCCGCTGCCGCCTCTTGCCACGGTGGATTTCCGGAGTCGACGGCAGAGCGATCAGGGATCAATTTTATCGCGTCTTCACTAGACGCGATAAGTCGATCCCAGAAAACTGATTGCCTGCCGCCGGACCCTCCGGTAAGTGTAGACAAGCCCTTAGAGTGCTCTCTGTAGTAATGTGCTACTTACTGTTGTACTGCCCTTTACCCTGCCCTTATTAGGATTGTGGGGACTGCTTTTGACGGGTTAAAAAGTGGCAAAGGGAGCGAATCGATAATGGCGTAGAGAGTACAATTACAAAGTTTGTGAATGATAAGCTGTACGTATACAAAAGGGGAAGTGACTTCCTAGGAAGGAGTACTGAGATATCTGCTCAACTGGAGTAAAAATTGGAGAGTCCAGAGAAGCGAAAAAAAAATTTAAGGTCTAGAAAACATGACCTATGAGGGAAGTAGCATCTTCTTACAAAAGCTGTTTCTTACAATCTATAGGTATAAATAACTGCTACAGGTAGCACATTTCTACATGTAGCAATTTCACATACACTATAGTGCAAGGAACTGCTACCTGGAGGGGAGGGAGCAATAGCTTTAGTGGTTTGAACATTGGCCTGCTAAACCCAGGGTTGTGAGTTCAATCCTTAAGGGGCCACTGAGGGATCTGGGGCAAAATCAGTACTTGGTCCTGCTACTGAAAGCAGGGGACTGGACTTAATGACCTCTCAGGGTCCCTTCCAGTTCTAGGAGATAGGATATCTCCATTTATTATTATAGGCCTTTGCTACATGAGGGAGCAGTTTACTACACTAGCCGTTTCTTACAGGCCGCTACGTATCGGAACTGCTACCCTAGCACAATCCGACTCGGGGCAGGGGCATGACGCGGGGCCGGCGCGGCTCCTAGCACAGCCCGGAAGCGGCGCCAACCCGCCCCCTTCGCCGCTGCGCTGCGTCCCCCGGCTCGGCAGGGGGCGCTCAAACCGCGCCACTTCCACTCATATCCGGGTGCGAGGAGAGTCACTTCCGGCCATTGAGTCGCTCAGTAGCGCCGTTTCTTTCACCGAGCGCCGGAGCGGCCTGGTCTGAGGCCTCCGCACCGAGCTCAATTTTTTCCTCTCCCCGTTGCCGGGGTTGCCGCTCTGTGGTCCCGGCCGGCTGGCCTGACGCCCCTGCTCCGCCGCCATGAAGCTCGTGAGGTGAGATGGGCCCGGATGGAGGCGGATTGGGGGTTAGCGGGCAGCGGCGGGAAAGGCGCGCGCTGGGCCTTCCCCCGTCTCGTGCCGCTCCGGCTGCTCGCGCTCCTCCCCCTTCCCCCGCCCCCCTGATCTCGCGCCGCTGTCGCCCCAGGCTCCCCGTTCCACGGCGCGTGTGAGCAGGGCACCGTTGCCCCCCCGCCCCTCCCCCTCCCCGGTGCAGGTGCCGCCTGTTATCGGCTCGGCTCTCGCTGAGCCGGCGCGAGGGGCTGCCAGGCAGGTCGGTGCCAGGGAGCCCCCTCCCCCCCTACAGCGCGCACCTGAGCTGGAGACTCGGGGGTGGCCGTTCCCACCCGCCCCGATCCCGCCCCACCCCCACAACGCGGGGCTGCCCCAGGTCTCTCCCCCCCTCCCCCTCCGGGGCTGCTCCTTTCCCAAGCATCCCCCTAAGGAAACGGGCGTTTAACATCACGCACGTGGCTTTTCCCACCCCCGCGGTAGCGGCTGGCTTGTGGCACTTGGGTTGCGAGCCTGGGTTAGACTCGTAGCTGGATAGTTCTTGCTGGTCTCTGATCTTTGCTCGCTGGTTGTGACTCCATCGCTACTTCCGCTTTCTTCCTTAGCCAACAAGCAAACATGAATCCGGTTATTGATAAAAGAAAATGCCATCACCCAATGTGGTGCCATGATTTCCCGCGTATTTTAAAGCAGCCCGCAACAAGTTATACGATTGTTTACTAGCCAGAAGACTTATTCTCTGGTAATTGTGAGATTGGGCGGAGTAAGGAAAAGTTTGGCTCCCTTCTCAGACAGAGCTGCTAAACTCAGCAAGAGAGGGACTCCCTGTCCCCAACTAATCCACATATAAAGAGCACTCATGCGGTGCTTGTAAGTGCTGCTATGTCAGGGCATTCCCATCTGTCGTATTTAACTAAAAAAAAAAGCAAGTATGGCAGTGGATTTGTAAAAATCCCAATAGCCTCTCTTTAAAGCAATGTTTAAAACACTAATTCTCCTTCTTAAACAATAATTCAAACAATTGTTAAACTAAATTATTTTTCACTTTTGTTCACCTCTTGCACTTCATTCAGCTTGTACAAATGAAAATAGGTTAGTTTGTTGTATTACCACTTTCACTTTAAGGTTCATAAATGTTAGCACAGTGCAATGGTGTTTGGGCTATAATGACTGTTTTTAATGCAAACGAGTTATTTAACAAATACCTTTACTATTGACGGCTTTGTAAAACCATTTTTAACTAAACAAATTCTGGGATAAACTAGCCTGTTTCTGTTTAGGTACTTTTGCATTTTGGCAAGGGGTTAGACTAGATGACTGACCCCTGCAGTGCCTTCTAGCCCTATGATGCAAGTAATGTACTTGGCTATTTGCACCATAGCAGTGACTGTAGCTGTTATATTTATTTTGTTAAAAAGCAAAGCTTGTCCTAAGTGACAGGTAACCAGCAAAAACCAGCTGCTTAATGAATGTTTTATAATGCTTGGCTTCCAAATAAAGGTGTAGCAGAATTGTACTCTGTATGTTTGGGGATTCTTTGGAGCAGTGTCCAATCAGGTTGCTTATCAAGGGTGCTCTCTTGTATGGTTTTCACTGTTTTGTTTTTTGTTGTTGTTGCAAAGCCTCAGAGTCCATACAGAATTACATTTTTGGAATATTATGAGGTTTGAGATTGCTTCACGCTTTGTGCAATATGTATGGCAGGGCCTGGGTACTTTCTGAAGATTATTCACGTATTGTGATATTGGAATGGAAGTTCTGTTTTTCAACTACACTTTTATTTTGCAGGTTTCTAATGAAATTGAGTCATGAGACTGTGACCATTGAACTGAAGAATGGAACACAGGTGCATGGAACAATCACAGGTATGATATTCAAGATGTTGGACACTAAACCAAAATAATGAAGGAATTGATAGTGAAAGGAAAATCTGTTCTCTTCTAAAGATACTCCACTGTGATAGCTAAATGAGTTTCCTTAAGAGATACATTTTGTGAAATACTTGGTGACAAGTGTAAAATCACCCCATAAGCAGTAGCATTAGGAACATCAGTTCAGATGTTTGTTACTTACTCAGATATTTGTTTGCGGTGAATGTTCAGACTACATGTATCTTTAATTTAAAGACCAGCAACAGGCAACTAATCTAATGTATGAGATGTTCTCAGAGTTTTAATAATATGGACCACATCTGAATAAATACTGTGTTGAGGACTAGCACCTGTCTCACACTGGGGTTTACTGTGTTTATTTTTTCTCACCCTTCTGTTCTGTTGTTCTCTCTTTGCTGCCTTCTGTTCCTGCATGTGCTTCTCAATCCCTTAGTTCCTTCTGCCTTGAATTTGCTGCTCAACTGCATTTTTCCCTTCTACATTTCCATTGACATTCTTCATCTAGTAACTAGCATCTCCAGACCCAGGTGGTGGCTCCTGTTTCTTCTCCTCCTTTAGAGGCATCCCCTACTAAAGGCAGGTAAAAATGAGATGCCAGTTATCTATATTTACAGGCAGCTGAGCTCTTTTCAAGAGCCCAGGTGCATGTAGAAGCACCTGGAAGCATGGCCATCACTCTGACCTGCCAGCTCTTCATAGACCACCAGGAAGTGCTTTGAAGACTCATAGATCATAATTGGTCACAATAATAGACCAGAGAGCAAAAGGTCAAATTTTGTAATATTGTTTAATATTCTGTGTTGAGATTCTGGGCTGTTAGATTATAATACTGAGAGCCAGGTACTCCTGAATTGTAATAATTGGCACACCAAGTGGCTTAGGGGAAATCTCTTTTAGGCCTTGTCTATACACAGAGTTGCACTGGTTTAACTAAAGGTGTGTCCGGTCTACCCTCAAGTTTTACTGTGGGTGTTCGTGTACAGCTGTCAGTAAGGGGTGTGACGTATATATATTTTTTAAACTGGCAGTAAAAACCCTAGTGTAGACAGTTATACCTGTATAGCTTATTTTGTTTTGTTGAACTCCACAGTAAACTATTCCAGTGTAAGCATGTTTATAAATGTATAACTTCATCTACAGTAGGACTCTTGCTTTAACTATGCCATTGTCAAAGTGGTTAAACTTAAGTGTAGACAAGGCCTTAGTTAAACCAGTGCATGTTTGTTTGTGGGGAAGCTTATTTCTATTTAGCTTAAACTGGTGCTAAAATATGCCACTCTTAAATCAAAGTAAGTGTCTGTTCTTTAGACAAACTTGCTCCTATTTCAGTACAGTGGTTTTAAAACACACCTTGTAAACTGGTGCTAATTTGTGTAGACAAGGGCTTAAACTGTTTCTTTATGTGTAAAATGGAGATGCTTATCTACCGCACAGTTTTGAGAGGATTAATTATTATACAATATTCTGAAAATATATAAAGTGCAGCATACATTTTTAAAGTTGTTATTCCTTGGGGGCACTGACCTATTTATGTGGTCAGCAGTGCCCTGATGGGCCGGAAGGCCCCAAAGAGTGAGGGTGTTTTGTGATTTTTTTTTTTTTTTTTTTTTTATTAATGAAGTAATATAATTTGCAGCCTTAAATTTTGTGATAGGAGCTCTTTACAGAAACAGTAAAGAGTACAACTAATTTTAATTGGCATGATCATCGGAAATAGAAAAATTAATCCAAGTTCCTATCATGCATTTTGAGAACATGTGTAGGATATTGCAAAATTTGACCCTGAAAATTAATAGGTCTACATTAGACTAAGACTTCACGCTGAAATGACATTAGAAATAATTAGCTTTGGCATGCCATGTAGTCTTCACAAAGCAGCAGCCCTTACATTTATTGCCTAACATTATTTTAATTTTTTCTGACTTTTTTTTTGATGGAGCCCTAACACTGGCCTTCATTGCAGCAACACATTGAAGTTTGGCAGAGGCATGTTCCTGGGATCTGCAAGGTGCTTTTTGCCGGCCTATGAAAATCCATGATGATTTTTCGTAGTTATAAATCCTTGAAGATCTTTTCTGCTGTCAAATTCATTAGTGTTCATTACTTGAGTGCACACACTGCCCTGGCATCTCACGGAAGTATGCTGTATATAACACAACCAGATCGCATACGTGCAGACTGGATTCTTTTCCACTTCTCTACTTTCCTGCCTCTTCTCTCCGACTATTAAAATCCCAATTACCTAGGAGATACATAAGCCTGGGAACCAGAAGATTGTGAATGCTTGGTTTGCTTATTTCTACAGACCTTAATTCTGTGCCCTTTACAACCTTTGTTGTTGAGTAAGGCCTTGCATGTCACTGAGAGGTGTCAAACTGGGAAAGTAATCCAGACTGCTAAAATGGCAGACCCAAGTAGAGCTGGTTGGGAATTTTTCAGTGAAACTGTTTTTCATCAGAAAATTCCAGTTTGTTGAAACAAAAACTTTTTGCAGGGACATATCAGTTTAGGCAAAACTCTCTCTTTCTTTGCAAAGGCCTTGGATTTGTCCCAGTGCAGAATGGGATATTTATTTATTTATTTATTTTTGAAATCTCAAAGATTTTCACAGAGCTGGAAAAGTTTCCCATCTAACTCTAGACCCAACACTGTGGCCACACTGCTGCCCTTTCTGTGTTTGACTGTGCTGTCTGTAAAATGTGGTGACTCCTGGATATGTAACCCAGTGTTTCAGTCTTGTGTTTGTCCTCTGGTAGCTGGTCCATAGAAGATGATAGCCTTCTACTGCTGCTGGCCCTTTTAGTTAGTCCATTAACTCGAGTGCTAGAGAGCTGTGCTGAGGGTCCAGGGTTCATATATCACTGATGACTAGGGCCCTACCAAATTCGCAGTCCGTTTCATGGTCATGGGGTTTTAAAAATCATAACTTCCATGATCTCTGCTATTTAAAACTCAAATTTCACTGTGTTGTAATTGTAAGGGTCCTGACCCAAAAAGGAGTTGTGGAGGTGTCACAAGGTTATTGTAAGGGGGTTGTGGTACTGTTGCCCTTACTTCTGCGCTGTTGCTGGTGGCAGCGCTGCCTTTGGAGCTGGGCATCTGGAGAGAGGCAGCTGCTGGCCAGGATCCCAGCTCTGCCTTCAGAGCTGGGCCCTCAGCAGCCACCATGCTCCAGCTGCCCAGTTCTGAAGGCAGCAGCGCAGAAGTAAGGGTGGCATGGTATGGTATTGCCATCCTTACTTCTGCCCTGCTGCTGGCGGGGTGCTGCCTTCAGACCTGGGCACCCAGCCAACAGCTGCCATTCTCCGGCCATCCAGCTCTGAAGGCAGTGCAGAAGTAAGGGTGGCAATACTGCAACCCCCATAAAATAACCTTGTGACACCTCTCCTACCCCCCTGCCCAACTCCCTTTTGGGTCAGGACCCCCAGTTTGAGAGAAACTGGTCTCCCCCGTGAAATATGTATAGTATATGGTAAACAGTGCACACAAGATCAGATTTCACAGGGGGAGACCAGATTTCATGGTCCGTGATGTGTTTTTCATGACCATGAATTTGGTAGAGCTCTACTGATGACAAGTGATAGGTGAGGAGGCTGGTTGTTACAAATGCACATAATTATTTTATTTCTTTTTAATAAGATCTAGGAAATTAAATACAAAGAAAGTTTGTTAAAATAATGTTAAGGTTGTAACGTCAGGTACTTATAAGTTAGAAAATGTCAGAATTAAGTTTGTCCATTAATTCTGCCTCCTTGTATGTATCGTGATACATAAGGCTACGTTTTAGTCATGGGTATTTTTAGTAAAAGTCATGGACAGGTTACAGGCCCTAAACAAAAATTCATGGGCCTGTGACCAGTCCATGACTTTTACTAAAAACACCCGCCCTGACTAAAACTTGGGTGGGGGAGACGGTCTAGGGGGTGGCCCGGGACCCCTGCTGGTTCTGGAGGGAGGAGGTATTGGCGAGGCTGGCAAGGGCTTTCTGCCCTGCTCCATGTCCCTGCAGCTCGGCGGCGGCGGAGGCAGGGGCCAGAGCAAAGGCTCCGCTGCTCCCACCACAAGCATCAGCTGCCGTAGTTCCCATTGGCTGCAGTTTCCTGGCCAATGGGAGCTGCAGGGGCGGGGCCTGCGGGCATGGGCAGTGCACGGTGCGGAGACGCTGCCGCCGCCTAGGAGCTGCAGAGTGGCCATGCCAGTGTGAGCCGGGGAGCCCCCCACCCTGAGGTAAGTGCCTCTCCATACTCTCAGGCCTTGAGCCCCCTCCCACACACCCAAACTGCTGCTGGCCCAAGGGCTGCCTGAGCCAGCACCAGCCACTGCAGAAGTCATGGAGGTCACGGACAGTCATGGAATCTGTGACCTCCATGGCAGACTCGCAGCCTTAATGATAGTCTTTAATTAAGTGATCATACACTTTTTTTTCTTGCAGGACCACTGTCTAACTTGAGTGCCAGGATGAGCAATGCTCCGTGAATAAACCAGGGTTGTGCAGTGAATGAGTCTGTTCGACCATTGCCTTGTTAGCTGTAGGGGAGGAAGGTATTTAGAGAACAAGATGGGGAACTACAGGAAGAGAGAGAATGGTTTTGTGATTAAGGCAGTTGAATGCTATCTAGGTGAATTGGATTCTATTTCTGGTTCAACAAGACTTACCATTTGGTGGACAAGTCATTTAAATAAAATTTTTCACAAATAGCTATTAATTGTGCGCTTCCTTTTCAAATGTAAGTCTAGTAAGAATGTCCTTTCGAAAATGGCATTACCTAGCATGCTAAAAGTAACCAGTTTTTTGATGCATTTCGTCTCTCTTCCCTAAAATTTGTCATCTGTCTGTTTTGTTTCAGGAGTGGATGTCAGTATGAATACGCATCTTAAAGCTGTGAAAATGACACTGAAGAACAGAGAGCCTGTACAGTTGGAGACATTGAGTATTCGAGGAAATAACATTCGATACTTCATTCTGCCAGACAGTTTGCCTCTAGATACCTTGCTAGTGGATGTTGAACCAAAAGTCAAATCCAAGAAAAGGGAAGCAGGTTGGTTTCTGATTTCACCTTTGTTTTATTCCAGATTACTAAAGGGGTGGTTTGTTTCCTCCATAAATTAGTACTTTTACTGAATCTGCAGTAATCTTAAAAAATGTCTGGTTAGGAAATTTTAGTTTTCTGTGATTGATAGCTTGCTGTTTATTTTTTTTCTGCAGTAAGTTTTGAGGTTTCTTGTCCTCTAGCTGGAAGGCACTGGCAATTTGTAGATGATTTGATGTCATGATAGTGAAACTCAATGTATAAGGTTAACCCTGGACACCCTTCTTAAATTCTACATAAATCTGAAATTGTGTATATGGTGTCCTACCAGAGAAGACATTTTTTGAAGTTTGAGGAAAAAATGAAACCAGTGAATTCTGAGAGAATTTCAAAATGCCTTTTATTTTGCTTTTGAAGTTCACTAGTGTGTGTGCGTCACATCTCTGTTTGCACTATTAACTTCAGGTTTTGTTTCTTAACCTCTATGAGAGCTAGTACAGAGGGGCCTCTTACTATGATGAGTGGATAACTGAGGAGTCATGTGCTACAGGGGAAAAAATGAACCTTTGGCTTCTATATAGTCTCTGGAGATCTTAACTTTCATGATAAACCTGGGATGTTTTCAGATAGGTAGGGTTCTGGCTCCAGCTGCCATCTACATCATATTTTCACACAAGAGTGTTCTAATTTTTTCCTCAGACAAACAATTCCTAAACAAAAATCTTTAAGATAGCATTAAAGTTGTAAATAGGGGACTATTAATTTAAAGCTACACTATTAAAACTTTGTTGTAACAAGAAAAACTAGAAAAAGAGAAAAGTTGTAGTTAGGGGTTCATAAACAACTTTACCTGTGTGCCATGTCTTCACCCACCTAATAAGGATATGCTTAAGATAACTTTACTTGAAACTTTAAAATCACTGACTGCAGTTGGAAACACTAAACTGTGAATGGAACCATGGTATGTTTTACAGAAATGTTGGTCCCCTCTTTTCTCTTCAATAAATAACATCCTAGCCTGGTTTGGTGAATGTAGTACTCTGAGATCTCTGGCCTATACACATTATGTGGATTGTATAAAAAGGATAAGTGAGCTGTAATGGAGTATGGGGTCTGTAATTTATATAAATAAGGTGATTGCAGAGTCTGGACCGTGTAGCACTAGTCTGTGTAGGCACATTGATAGGGCTCTCCACAACATTGTGTGACTCCCCCACCCTCTATGAATAATCTATTGACTATGTGGGAAATTGAAATAGGAATGGGTTACTTCTCTGGGTCAGTACATGAAGGATAAGAGGCACGCTGTTAGTTACATTGTACCATATGGGAAGGTGAACAAGAGAATGATCTTCGGGTTGTATGTGTTGGATGGTGGCTTGTGGCATGTACTGGAAACAAATGAAGTAGCTAGACGTTAGTTTGTTTCTGACTTAATAAATTGAAACTGTGACATGGTGGGTAGAGTTCAAGTTATTGGAAATCTTAATCGTTTTTTGAAATTGAGTAAACGTAGCTTCAGGTTAATACACTTGTTCCTGAGTACCTCTGTCAAGTTTTGTTTCTACTGTCATTTATTCTTATTTTTTTTCAAATGTTTTTCTTTGTTGCGATCTGAATAGTTTTGTCTATAATTTTTCCGTTAATTACCTGAGGCCTTGGCTACACTCGGGACTTCACAGCGCTGCCGAGGGGAATAGCTTGCAGCGCTGCGAGCGAGTGTGCAGTGCTGCAGGCTCTGATTACACTGGCGCTTTACAGCGCTGTACTTGCTGCGCTTGGGGGGGGTGTTTTCACACCCCTGAGCGCAGCAAGTTGCAGCGCTGTACAGCGCCAGTGTAGCCAAGGCCTTAGAAAAATAGGTAAAGAAATTTCAATAAAGCTCTTTTTTTTTTAAGCTGGTGATATCCATTTCAGGTTGTTTGTGGAACTTACCTACAGAATTCCTCACTACTTGTGCAACTAAGCATTCAGGTGTTTTCAGTTAATATCTATGTGCAGCATAACTATTCACATTTTTCACTTATTAATTTCAGTTATTGGTAAATGAACACGGAATTAATCTGCCAAAAAGTAGTTAAGGTTCTCTTGGGGGATACATGCTGCATGTTTGTGCGAGGTTCTGCTGCCAGCTGTGAAATCCTTCATCCCTCTGCCCTCTCCCCCTTCCCCCCACTTACTTTGACAAACATTGGGGGGAGGAAGAAAAGTGCACTGTTATGTATTTCAAAATATTTTACTCTACAGTGTGAATAGGTTTTTACAATATTACACAGATGAGTTCCATAAAATTTTTTGTTCATTAACCAGCTCAGTTAATCAGAAACCCCAACATGTATGACCTTCATATGTAATTAGAGCTATTATCTCAATTTGCTAATCCTCCATAATAATGCACCTTACTGATGTTTTATGAAGACAAACCTATTTTTTTTTTCCAGATCTTCACAATACTCTCCATCATCTCAAACCATAGTTAAACATGCAAAGCACCATGATTAGAACACACCTCTAAATGGTTATGGGGTCATGCCCAGCCTCCTTTGGGTAAAATTGCACCATACCTGTTGATAGAATGTCATAAAGCCATATGATTGAGGCATATTTATTGCTTCCAATTCCCATTGCTTAAAAGAGGCAAGTGCCTTTTGTATGGGATATGCCTTTTTTGAAAGTCCCTGCCTAATGGGATATATAAAATCTGTAGCAGCTTGGTCAGTAGTTCTGTCAGGCATGTATTAGGAAAAAAGACATGCCAACATAGTAGGTAAATTTGTTATGAATGTGTGAATAGGACCTCACTTAGCATGTTCTTTCCTATTCAATATAGTAAATCAGTTAGATGATTTCCACTTTTCTTGAACTAAACTGTTGCAGCAAGAGATGGCCAAAAATTGAAAAATGCTCAGCACCCAACATTTCTTATTGAAAACAATGGGAGCTGTTGAATGATCAGCTCTTGAGGAAATGTACCACTTTTTAGTTGCCTAAAAGAAAGTTGAGCAGTTTGGAAAATCTGGCCCTACACTTACACATTTTACACCTACCTTTGCCTGTTTCTTTGATAATACATTTTGCCATAGATAAGTTATATGGATAGGGTGTGAAGCCCACAGTATTGTAGCATCTTGTGTATTTAAATCCGAATTCCTGAATCGTTAGGCTTTATTCAGAGAGAGAGCGGGGGGGCTTGTGTCAAGCTTTCATATTATTCAGAAAGCTAGTATATGCCTTTGTTTTCAGAACTGAAAGTGGAGTAGATAGAGAAGTGTAAATTGTACAGTAGTTTTTGTTTAAAAAATGCAAAAATCAAGTGCAAGGGAATTGAAATAGAAAAACAAAAACTTTGGTGTGTCTGAAATTTGATAGCATTATCACAGTCTGGTATCCAGTTACAAGTCCTATATGATAAAATACAATGTCTTTTACATTTGATACAGTATACACTTTATTTCAAATAAACTCTATTCAGGTGTAAAAGTTAACTTGTTCTTTGTTTTGTTTGCTTGCTCAGTTGCAGGAAGAGGCCGTGGCAGAGGTCGGGGCAGAGGCCGTGGCCGTGGCAGAGGAAGAGGGGGACCTAGGCGATAACTTCTCTCACACCACAGATACAAGTTACAAAATTCTAAGCAGTCTGATATTTTTTGTACAGGTTTTGTTTACAATGTCGATTTTTAATAAACGCAAATGTGGAAAAGTTGTCTCTTTTGTCAGTTAAGCCCTGAATGAGGTTTGTATTCATTGTATGCAACCGTAGAGCATTACTGCGGACTAAGCATGCCTTGTTACCTTTGTTCATGCAGTTCAGCCGAGATGATTTCTTTTCCTAGTACATACTATAATTTCACCTCTTGCTCTTCTCTGACCAGGTAAGCTACTTGTTACGTTGTAATACTGTTCAATCAAAATGAACGTTGCTTCTTCCTTTGCAAGACACATACTGTGTTCTATTAAGGCCACATAACCAAAATGTATATTTAGAGAATTTATACTTCTTAAATGTTGTGTTTTTGTTTAACATTGCATTTCAGGGTGACCTCTTCTGTTTTTCTTAACAAAAAAATAGTACAATTCTACTATCTAATTGAAACTTAAAATGTAACACATCTTGAGTTCATTCTGTTATAGAAAAACTTTCTCACAGGGAAAAATGGTTCAGGTCTATAAAACATTGGAATGTGGCATCATAAGATTAAAATCAAAATACATATCCATGGGTGTGAACTTTGTTGAAGTTAGTTGTATGGTGTGAGGCTTTTGTGTTGAGTGGTTTGTGAAACTATGTCACAGATACATTTTACTGCTTAAAGATGTGCATCTACTAGTAACTCCCTAGAAAACAGATACTGTACACAGTTGCATAGTGGAACCTGATATTTACTTCTATTGGAAACATAAGAATTGGCACAGCTTATGCATAAGCTTAAGCTGTTTTGCTTTTACGTCAGCTCTTAAGAAATATTGACCTCCTTCCTAGTTTTTTCTCTCAAATAGAAAAGACTGCCACATTCAGATTACAAAACTTGAGAAGTCAAACTATATATATAAAACTCCAAGAAAACCACTCATGTACATGCATACTATTTTGAAGAGTAATTTCCAGTACTTCAGATACAAAAGAATTTGCTTTCATATAATTGATGCTCATTGTTTTAAGTAGGCAGTACTGCACAGTGAGAAATAACAGCCTAACATCAGTTGTCATTAGCCAATAATACTTGGTAACTTGTGCTAGGTGGCTTTTTATGAGCTGCTGTTCTTTATATATCAGTTAGAGACCCTCTTAAGGCTTCGTCCGCCACAGAAGAACTTTTTGAACCACTGTGGGAGCTGCCAAGAGCACTTCATGGTAAATACATCACCCAAGGTTCTGCAAATCTATGAATAGTTGCTACAAGTAATGGTTACTGTGGTCTCCAAGATCCACACAGTTATTGCAACTGGTGATAAAGTTTTCATGAGTCCAGTTATGAATGTTCACTCAAGTGTTGATACATTTCTCTTCTTCAGTCTCTTCATAATAAAAATTATTAATGCACCTATTGGTATACACATTGTGGATGCAGCCACAAGTAGTCCAATAACTGCTAGGGCATAACTTGGATAATCTTTTGTAACCAGTTGACCCTGCAAATAAGAGAGAATATTAGCATGAAGTAATTGTAGCCCTCTCCTCTGTGTAACTTACTATAAGAAATGAGATCCTTCACTACCCTAAAAGTGTTGGATCTTTAATTTTGGATGGCTGGCAGTGATCTTAAATTTATACACCGTTTTGCTAGAGAACAAAGTTAAGTTGTAAAGCAGATGTTGGTGTGTAGGGGTGTTCGGTATACCTTGATGTAAATATCAAGGATTGGTATGGACTGTCACTTCAAGAGACATCACTCATTTTAGTTCCAGAGTTTGCTGTGCACAATACATATTCTTGTTCTTACCAAAACGTTACAGTAGAAATAAAGAATCATGAAAACAGTTATAGAAAGTTATTTATGCTAATGGGTTGAATCCCACAGCATTTTGTATTTGCATGATTAATTTTTGTCCTGTGTGTTGGCTGTGGCAGGTGGAGAGAGATGGACTATAGAGCTTTAGTCACTACTGACCTAGGCTGGATTTGAACTGCCAACCTTGAGGCAAGGTACTAGTGGAGTGTGCTACACAAAATAAGTGAATGATTTCATGTCAGTTCTCATATTTCCCAGGATAGGCCATTGCCTCAGTAATCTGAACAGAGGCCACATCCTGAACAGTCATGGAAACAATTACCCTTATCCCTAGACTACACCCTAGTAGATGGGGTAACTAGCATTGCTGCCTGTGCTTATCTGTCTGTACTTGCTGTGGTTATTACTCCCATCAGCACCTTTTAAGAACACTAAGTTCATTGAAAGGGTTTTTTTAATTGTAAGGTATGCCTATTCTAAATACAATATTAGTATGGCTCACTTCCTGTCTCTTTAAGGGGGAGAAAGATGCTGTCTTAATCATGAGTTCAGAATAAGTCCTTCCCAGATTATGCACATCTCTAAAGCACTCCGCTCTCAAGCAGTCAGAAAGTAAAGGTACAAGGTGTCACTTTTCCTGTTAGTGCCACTGTAAAAAGCCTAAATGTGTGGAATTCAAGGTTTAGTGGTATCAAGGAGCTAAAGCAATTAAAAAAAAAAAAATTTTTTTTTTTTAATCTAAACTACATGGCTGCAGTTCTGTTCCTACAGCATCACTATGTTTTATGGGATTTAAGCTACTCTCTCTTTTTCTCCCATGCTCAATGGGATTATCCGAATTCCAACTGTATCTTGCTAATTCTCCCTCTTTTAAATGTGCTCCTTGACCCTCTGACCCCTCACCACACCGTATGAGGCTTCATAGTTGTGGATAGTCCTCTCATTCTTGTGGTGAGTGAACAGAGCTGTGACCAACACTCCATGAACTAATCAATAAGGAGGCTGTTCAGGAGTGCTGTATGTGTGCCTTTAGTGCTGGACACACTATAGCTGACTGCTCTCAGCTTTGGTGGTCTGGGAATCCAGCTAAATTATGTAATACAACCCAAAGCTGCTGTATAGCTATTCAGAGCTTTACTATATGTCCACTATTTCCCCATAATGTAATTAGTGCTTAAATGGAGAAACTGAATGGAGGCCTGCATCTTGCATTCAGCAGCACCATCTAGATTTCTCTGAACACTTGAAGGGATTGTCAGCTGTGATACAACTCATACAGCTAGCATTGTGTGAGATACTGCAGTATACTAGCTGTCTTTTAAGTGTTGCCCCTTATCACCAGTTGGAAGTTGGCAGCAAGCAACAAAGCTTACTATAGCTGGTGCAGGTAAATATTTGTTACAGCTGTTTAACATGAAATAGTGAGAAATGTTAGTGGTTATGTAAGCTTTTCACTTTGAGGCTAAATTTGTCACTGGAAACTTTTCTCAGCAGGATTATTTCTTCCTGACATGGCACAGTTGTGATCCCTGTCTCTGCAAAATGTTTTCAGTCTTGCTGCATTGGAATCTGCGGTTCTCCAGCCAAGAGCAGAAACCGTGAACCCTTTCAGATACCCAAATTAGCAGTGGCATGAAAACACTGTAAACTTGATTACTTTCCTTTTATTAACAAAGGGAACATGTCCTGGAGTGTTGTTAAATTAATAGGTTTCAGAGTAGCAGCCGTGTTAGTCTGTATCCGCAAAAAGAACAGGAGTACTTGTGGCACCTTAGATATGCATCCGAAGAAGTGGGTTGTAGCCCACGAAAGCTTATGCTCTAATAAATTTGTTAGTCTCTAAGGTGCCACAAGTACTCCTGTTCTTTTTGTTAAATTAATATTTACTTAAGAAAATCCAAATTGTTCTTTCTCTGTGATAAACATGTATTTAAGTACTTTTATAAAACATGTATTATGCCCACTAGGGAGAATGAATTGGATTGTGATTCATTCTATTGTATGTGTAATTAGGTATGTGGGAGCTTTGTTCGAAGTACTGAAAACCTCTTGGTCTCATGAAAATGTCATTTCCTATTCACAATTGATCACTTAGTGTGGTATCACTGCTGTTTTTATAAATTTTGTTTGTTCAAAATATCACAAGTGATTCTAACTCTTAGAGGAAAGCTTTATTATTTGTGTGAGGGTTAGGGAATGCAGCTGCTTCTGCCTTCCATTAAAATTAAAGACCCATTTTAGTTCCAGATTGAAACCTGCCGTGTTAATTTTCAGCTGGTGCAGTTTGAGCAGGCTCCCCCCATACCTTGAATATGCTGATATCTCCAAGTCCCAATGGCAAGAAGGGACTGGTGATGAAACAAAGTGATAAGTAAAATAAATACCTGTGTGGCATCCCAGGCTTGGTACTGCAGTGTTCCTGTGCGGATGTAGTCAGTGAGGTAAAATATCAACAAACTTATAATTAGCACAGGACTGGCAAAAGCCCACATAATTTTCCAATACCAGTTTGGCTTATGTCCGAGCATTAGGAGAAGGTCTTTTTCAAATCTGTTTTTTAAAAAAAAAAAAATTGCACAGTTTGTTCAACTATACTACCATTTTGATTTTGCATTAGTAGGTTAGATACTAGGAAAATCTTTCTACCTGTAAATGATAGTTAAGCTCCAAGGGACTTCCAAGGGAGGTTGTGAAATCCCCATCACTAGAGGTTTTTAAGAGGTGGTTTGACAAATGCCTGTCAGGGATGGACTGTTTCATTGGTCCTGCCTCAGTACAGGGGCCTGGACTTGTTGACTTTTCAAGGTCCCTTCCTCTTTTAGTTCCTCATTGTATTTCTTGGCTACATTAGGAAAAGGTGTATTTTGAAAGATACAAAGGAAAAAGGCTTGTGAGGGATTTCTAATGTGTAGGGCCTAGAGATTAACAGGATTCACACATTAAGTCCTATCTAAATATGTACAAATAATATCATGTACCTAGGTGTGCTCTACAACTATAAAGGACCAAATCTGCCTGTAGGGGGGGGAAATTGCTCAGTAGGAAAAAGTGTATGTGGCTAGGCAGGATGTGAGCTGAAAGAGACCTAGCTGCAGGTAATTTGGCTCGCTAGGAGCATCTGCTAAGGTCAAAAGGTGTGTAATGTGTATTGAGCAGAAGTTAAGTGGAAAACATTGGGTCATGGTAAGAGAGAGAGCTAGAGAAAAGCAGGTAGAATCATTTACAATTTTTCTAGCTTTTTTTTCACCCAAACAACTCCCCCCTAAACAAATGCAGAAAGTTTCTGTATTAGTTCAAATAATGCAAGGTGATCAGTTTCCTAGTGGGTAGGAGACCGATTATGGCCCTGGCCGACATGCTTAAGTAACCCATGTGGACAAAACCTATGGGAAAGTGTGTTTTTGGCACTATGCAGTATCTCAAGATCCCTTGTGAAAATGTGGGAAATACTAAGAATAGGAGTCACATATTTGGTCCCTTGTTTTGTATAATGATGTAACATACATCTATGAACTGGATGTAGTAAATATGTTTATATATTTTAATGACTTAATAGGATTTAAAAACTTTAAATTCACTGTTCAGCTAACAAGTATAAACTTAACATATCAGGAGTGTCAGTGTACACCCCTGTGCCCTGCTGGCCTCTGCCCTTATAGAACACATCTGCTTGGGCTTTGCAACAGATGAGACCACAATGCTTTTCTTTGCAGTGATGGGATTTTCTTGGCCCTGCTTGGTGCTCTTGCAAGCAGTACCAAGCATTGCTCTGCCTAGGCTGAGGAGTGCCACTGACCTGAGTGGGACTGTGCATGGGAAGGGATTGCAGTCGCAAGACCCTTAAACACCAAGATTGTTTTTACCTCTAAATGGATGAGTCTGATTAAACTGTTCCCACCCACTATTCCCAGTCAATGTGTATGTGTGTGGGTGGGTGGGACATCACTTTGCATGGAACACCTGCCAGGTAGCACAGTGCCCAGAACTCAGGATGCGAGAGCATGAAGGAAGCTGTTTTTCCATTGGCTGGGGATAGGGTGACCAGACAGCAAGTGTGAAAAATCGGGACAGAGGGTGGGGGATAATAGGCATCTATGTAAGAAAAACCCCAACTATCTGGACTTTCCCTATAAAATCGGGACATCCGGTCACCCTAGCTAGGGATGGGGAACTGGGTTACCCAATTGACTCTCACTTCCGCCTCCCCTTCCTATTTAAACTCTGCCGTGGGTTAAGGTAACCAGAGCTGCTTGCTCTGTCCAGGGTGCAAGTGTTCTGAGGGCAGGGGAAGGGTTTGGGCAAAGGATGCAGCATGTGCACTAGAGCTAAGAGCAAGAATTAGGTGAGTTAACAGGGAAGGACCGGTAAGCACAGTTTAATAGTGACCTTTGTAGGAAAACATAGGTGCAGGCTGAAAGGGAAAAAGCATGTTACCTAAACCAGTGGCTTAGGGCCAGCTTGTCCCCGGGGTAGGGAAAAACCTGGGTGGGGGAAGTGGGAATGTCGGAGGCTCCCCTTGATCATGTCCATGGCATCAGTGCTTTAGTCCAGCGATGGGATTTGTGCCTGGGATGAGTTATTTTGACCCCCCAAAGCCTGCAGATACGTGGAGACCAGGGAAGTGTGATGGGGCGCTGTGCAGCCCTACTGGCTCCTGCCATTGTGGCTCAGTCAGCTTTAAACTTCTGTGGGGAGTGATGTGGGGTCAGAGTTGCAGGGGACAGGACCAGCTCTAGGCACCAGCAAACCAAGCACGTGCTTGGGGCAGCACAACTCCAGGGGTCACTCCAGCTCTAACCCGTCCCTTTCCCAGGAATGAATCCTGACCCCGGTACCCTCCCTGGGGAGGCTTGTGAGGGAATGAGAGGATGTTGCTGGGGAGGTGCCACCCCCACCTAGCTCTGTGAGTGTCACCCCCTCTTGGCTGCCCAGGCTGAAAGAACAGCTCAGTCCTCAAATCTGATGAAAGATTTTTTTTTTCCCCCTGGAGCTGCTGTCCTGGCCTAAGTGCTTTCCCCAGTGTGTCCTGCCTGCACCATATCCCTGCGATGGCACAGTTACAGCAGTAAGGGAGGAGGTTTTAAACTCTTACCTCCTTAGCCCATAGACGTAACAAACAGCGATCGTCTCCACCAGAACAATGAGCAGCAGAGAGAGGGTAGCTGCATAGTCATTGAATATGTCAAACCAATAGTTTCCAGCCTCCATGGTGAACACCAGGCCAACAATGCAGTTGATGAAACACACAATACCTGTAGGAATAAAACAAAGAGGTTATTTTAGCCTCAACGGAAAGGAAAATGTTACTAGGGCAAGAGTCGGAGGCTTTGCATTAAATAAAAGACATCGGGTTTTAGCCTGTTTTTAGTGGTAATTGGTAGTCTTAGGGGAACCAAGAAAACTAGCAATGTCTACATACTACAGTGATTGATGCTATATAAATACCCAGGCTAGAGCATTGATGTGGGTGAGGCCTGTGCTACAGTTGTTAAATGTATGTTGCTTGCATTATAAAGCTTTAAAGACCATTTCCCCCACATTTGAAGAATTGTTGCTTCATGTGGCACTTTCCTATGTAAATTAGCAGGGAAGCCTTGAAAAAGCACAGAGAGTTGCAATCAGCATCTGGGATGTTCTCTGATGGCACTAACTGGAGAGGTTGGAGAAAGGTGAAATTAACTCAATTTCCTCTTGCCTGCTTCCCAAGTTGCATTTAATTTTAAAGGCAGTATCTTAATATTTCTGCACTCAGCACCAAATGTGAGGTGCCTTTGCATTTGCATACCTCCTTCTTGTGAAGATCTCAAAGCACTTTGCAAACGTCAATGAACTAAGATTCACAGCATCCCTGTGAAGCTGGAGGGTATTGTGATTTTTCTTTTTATTTGACCTGATGAATAGTAAAGGTGTGGCATGACTGCTGTTACGCAAAGACAGTATGAAGAAGCTAAAAAATATTTCCTTGCAAAATATTTTCTTATGACCCTGCTCATACACTGTTATTGCTGGTTTGGTTATGAGCACAAAGCTATTGGCTATGATTTCTTGTAAATAGCTGTAGAAGAAGCATCCCTGATTATTTGTTTAATCACACATGCACCCTCCCACCTAATGGCCTTTGTTCTGTGTCATAAGAACACAAATAGTTTTGGCAGGCTATGTGAATGAAATAACTGTGGAACTCTGTGGAACTCTGCTGATAATGGTGGATTATTTATAGTTAAAACTATACAGGTGGTGTAATATAGGAACTGATGCAAATGTTTTGAGGTTCAAAAAATGTAGCTAGCTATTTTTTGATAGGAGTTTCTCCTCCTTTTGGTCAGAGGCAGATGTACTAAGATACTATACATTTGTGATCTGATTTCAAGATCAAAGAAGTTCCTATAAATATGGAGACATTTGGATGCATATGCAAACTTTTTGATGCTCACATATCATTAAATACTAATCTGACTGATCATTTGACAGGATATTTGTGTCAGAAGTCCTTGTAAATATGAAGACGTGATCTCTGCAATGTCTGTTTCTTAAAAGCAATAAAATACTCTGGGCCTTGTATTCTGGAGAATTATGGTTCCTCCTAGGGAGTTTTTCTATCTTGGGTCTCACAGCAAACATAAACTGAGGCAGGCAATCTTCCCTGAGAAATGCCACCACTGATTGAAGTTTGTTTAAATATATTCTGTGAAACCAATAGCAAAGTATCTGCATGTTGTATTACAGTACAAGGGACACACAAGTGCTTCCTGCTGAGATTTTCAAAAAATATTCACTGTGTACTTGTAACATTGTTTTGTTTTTCCTTATTCGTATCATGTTTGACTTTTTTTTTTAAAGCACTATTTTGATGAATGAGAATGATGCACACTAGCGTCTGCGGTTGTTGTGAAAGAACTGCATTTTGGAGGCTGGCGACCAGGCCTCACGTGACATTCCTCATGCAATTGACAGGCTGCGGGGGTGGGGCAGTCCTTACTTACTCAGAACTCCCACTGTAATCAGTCAACTCCCCTTAGGACCTGAGCCTGCAAGGGGCTGAGTACCCTTCACTTCCCTTGAAGTCAGTGGGAGTAGAGGGCATGCAGAACCTTCCACGCTGGGGGCTTCCAAATCCCTCTTGAGTGTGTTCACTCCTTATGCAGCCTGAATTCCTACCCGCTGTCGACCTGTTTTATTATGTGGTAGTGAACTTACCTGAGATCACCTCTTTAGGTAAATGGGTGGACAGAAATTTGCTGTCTGTCAAAGGGGTGAGGATAGCTGCAGTGTTCCCCAGCATACTGCCTATGCCCAGCATCAGCAGCATAATAAAGTACAGCACTGAATACAGCTGAGAGACCTCCATGTTTTTTATTGCTTCCGAATACACTATAAATGCCAGTCCAGTGCCTTGGACAGCCTGCCAATGAGAAGAAGAGAGTAGAACCTAACCAAGCGTGGTGGTGTCAGCTCTTCAGATAGCTACACCCTTGCTTATTTACTGATAGAAATCAACATCAGATTATTATACAAAAGAACTTTAACCCAAAATAACCTTTCATTAAAAGTACGTCTCCTGCCTCTTACTGAAGCTCTACTTCTACCGCTTTAAACAGTAAATGAAAACTGTAGGTAAGGTAAGTCTAAACTCTGCCACCTTTTACTCTTGTTGATTAGTGCCTTGCTCTTCAAGGAGACCCACTGATTCCAATAAGACTACTCACCATGAATAAAGGCATCAAAATCTGGACCTTAATGATGGCAAATGGTAACTATGTGCCAGTAGCCTTGAGTAATGAACTAGTTGAGATCTTTGCTGGCCTGTTTGAATGGTGCAGAATTGGCCTCCTACTACTACCCGGAATAATAATGGACCAATCTTGCAATCTTTACTCAGGCAAGTAGTCCTAAGTAATCAAAATGAATCGTATCCTGATCTTGGTTCCTAAAGCCTGAGGAGTTCCACTGAAGTCCTTTGAATTACTTTAGATTTGCAGAATGTCACCCGTTGACTTCAATGGGCCTGCTAGCATGTAGAAGAACTATTCCCCCGGGTAGTGGTGGGGCAGGAATGAAGCCGATAACAATACTTGGCACTTCTCATCTTCAAAATGATTGACAAACATTAACGTGCCTGAGTCAGCACCTCCACGAGGGTAGCTATTATCCCCCTTAGTACAGATGGGAAATGCAGGCAGAGCAGTCAAGTGACTAGATGGCTGTTATTAAAGCTGGGTTTAGAAATGCAGACCATTTCCCCTCCTAGTTCTATAAGTAATATGGCAACATCCTCTTACATTTAATCTCAAAGGGCCAGACTTATGACCCGCACAAAAACCTAGCAGCCTTCCCACATTCATTGCAACCCGTAACATGCTATGTACTACTGATGGCCACACCGTTAGTGCTGGGCGGACGGACGATGTGGAAGCCCAATGTGCATGGCAATCGTGCTGGAGGAAACCTTAGTGCAGGGATGAGCTTAGGGCTTGAGCAGTAAAGCTGGTGCTTTACTGAGCGAAGTCAATTGGCTGCCTGAGCGGAGGGGAAAGGATGATAAAAGGAGCAGCCCTGCACTTACATCACCTCCCTCCTGCCAGTTCATCTACAGGGAGGCGTTTCTGGCAGACACGGTGATGACCGTGTTTTGCTTATAGAAGGTTTGAACATTTTGGGCTGGACCCTGAAATTCTTATTTATGGGCGTTGTTCCATTGACATCAAAGGCTACTCACACAGGTAAAGTTTACAGGATTAGGTCCTAAGTCTACTGTAGCAGAGCCAGCATCCACCAAAATTAGTTGTGCCATCTTCAGAGTCCAGCGGTGAGATGCCAATTAATAGGAGCTGCGTGGCTAGATCCCGGTGCACCCCAGGTTTGCAGGGAGGGAGTCCTGGGCGCATGGGAAGTTGGAATGGGAGTTTTTACTTGAATGTCTCCAAACAGTTTGACTCCTCTTCCATTTGAGGGGCGTGGGAAGGTTTTATTTTAATGAATTCGCTTGCCCAGCCAAGGCCATCAGAAGAGGTCTGAGTGTGACTAAGTGTCACAGCTCAGAGCCCGGGCTAGTGTGTAAGCTACATTGCCCCAGGAGGCACTGTGCCTACAGAGACCCCTCTGGGTCACAATTCCCCCCTCTCTCCAGGGGATAGGTGAGTATTAATTTACAGCTGGCTTATTATGCTAGAAGCAAATTATGGCAGCCAGCAGCTGCAGAATATATATATAATATATATAGAGAGAATATAAATGTTCCATCTAAAGTTACTCAGTAGAAGCATCTTCACCTAAAGGCTACAATCACCTGGGGCTGCTAAGTGGCCTAAGCAAGGAAGGAGTCGCTTAGGTTGCCTAAGCTAAGTGTAACATCTACCATCACATTAAACATACTCAGGACCTCCTCATCAGTACAAGAGCTAATAGAGTTCGTGTTCTTTCTCTCCCTTAGACCCGACCATCAATATAAGCTTCCACTTCTGACTGAGGGAAAAGGAAACAGAGAAAAAAAGAACCAAGGCTGGTGCACAAAGGAGCAAGTTACCGTGTCTAGTTCAGCTTCCAAACTGCAGTTTTTAATCTGTGGCAATAATTCTGCATACTGGTTTGGGTAAGTAGACGTTAGGTAATTTTTCATACTGTCGAGATTGTCTGCAGTTAAAGCTCCTTCTTCCAGGTCGAAAACGTTTGTCAACAGCAGTATTACCCTGTAAAGCCAAGATAATTTAGTTTCTTTCTAGTAAAGCTAGAAGAAATGTTTCAGTGGCAGAATTTGGATGCAGCTTCTTTTAAGTGGAGGAGTGCACTCCAGAATACCACAGAGGGACAGGCAGGAGAGCGCTTGCTATACTTCAGTAAAGTATGCTGAAAAGAGGCTAAATGTGAAACTACACTTGTGAACGGGGAAGAAGGAAAACTGGGATAAAAGATATGCTTTGGCTTAACCAGAAGTTATTGGCTTGATGCAGGAATCACTCGGTAAAATTCTATGCCCTGTGTTAAACAGGTCAGACTAGATTATCATAATGGTTCCTTCTGGCCTTAAAATCTATGCATCTATATGAAAATTAATTTTCTTATTTTATTCCTCTCAGTTCCATTTGCACTTATTGCTGTGAGTGGATGGTCCCAAATTCTGGCTCAGGTCCTCAGTTCATGTAAACTGACGTAGCTCCACTGAAATCAGTGGTATTACGGTATTTACATCAGCTGAAAATCTGCCCCTCTGTCTTTTTTCCTTTGTGCCTCTTTTAATATGACGACCACATGGCATCAATTACTTTCTGACAAAGGAGATGCTTGGAATATTAGCCTGTCCTCTGCTGTGATTAGTGCAATGGGTTAGTGCTGCGTAAATCTAACAAAAATATAATAGTAGTCCAGTCACTGAGACTTTGTATACGTGTGAGAATATAGCTTTAGGATCAGATCCTGCAGTGTGCTGAGTATCTTCTGTGAAGTGCTGAACTCCTTCACAGCTCTCTGTAATCAATAGGAGTTGATGCTTTGTAGTTCCCAGCAGAGCCTGCAATCTCATACTCAGATTTGTGCCCACAACTGAAAGGTGGGTAAAACTATTGATTGGACATACGTTTTGAGGTTGTAAATTGTATCTGCAAAAAGGATGTCTGCAAAATTTGGCCCTCGGTATTTGCGCTTTCCAAAATTCTTGTTTGTTTGCTATTTTGATAATCGGTTTGGATAATTCCTGGGATGATGTACCATGAGAGCCCTTGACACTGGAGAGTCTGTGGAATTTCCAGCTATTGTACAAAGATTTTTCAAGCAGTGATAGTTGTACTGTGCCTTTGTGTCATATGGAGACTGTTGGGATTTTCCTTCTCATGCTTACTCTTTTATAATGGGGTGGGGGGACAAGCCACAGGGTTCCTTTTGAATGATTTTCATTTCTCAAAAGTAAGCCTTTTATTGAGAACTCCTGTTTTCATTTTTGATGGGGCGGGGGGGAAAGGGCTGGGAAATGTCTCTTTCTGAACCATTTTTTCTATCTCCTTCCTCTGAAGGATCAGGAGATGGCCCAAGCTGGAGACAGGACATTGGGCAGGGAGGGCTGCGCTCTGAGGTGACACTGAACATTCTCTCTCTCAGGTGCTTGGCTGGCTGGTTCTGGCTCACATGCTCAGGGTCTAACTGATCACCATATGTGGGGTCAGGAAGGAATTTCCCCCTAGATACAATTGGGCCTTGTGTTGGGTTTTTTTGTTTGATTGTTTTTTGCCTTCTTCTGCAGTGTGTGATGTGGGTCATTTGCCAGCATTATCCGGGTATATCTCATTTAATAATTTCCCTGCCATTGCATCAGCCTTGGGCACTGGTGCACCTCAGTCCCTCCTGTTCTTTGCCTGTGGCTCATAATAATCTAGTTTCCTGTGGGTTGTAATACTTTGATCTCATTTCAGTTGTTGGGTCAGTGTGCAGATGCTGAGTGGGTGGCCTGGGGTATACTAGAGGTCAGACTAGATGTTCTAGTGGTCCCTTCTGGCCTGGAACTTGCTGACTCTATCAGACTTTTCTCCAGTTGTGAGTGTGCTTTAACAGGAGCAGCAGCAAAGAAGCTCTCTCATGCTTTCTAAAAAGTGTCTGCTGTCCATTCCTTTCCTGGCGTCATGCCTGCCTACAGTTACCTTAAAGGTGGGCTGCAGTGCTGAACGCAGTCAGTAGGAATCCAGCCACTGTCTGTTTCATGGAATAGACTTCATACACCCCTCATCAGAGGTAGAAAGCTCTGTAGCCATCTTCACTATCATGCTGAGGCAGTGACCTGGGCACAACATAGTTAAACTTGGCAGTGTAGGCAGGACCTAACTCGGTCCCTCGCCTAAGTCCTTGGACTTCCGAGGTTTTAACCTTGTGACAGGACATAGGTGCATGCCTTTTCCAGGGCAATTGAAAAGAGTGTTGTAACTGGTTCAGGGAACAATGTTCTGTAACCTGCTCAACCCTCCTGCTTATAACTGCAATGTAGGTGGGTCTTTAAACTCATTTGTCAGCAATGGTACCTTCAAAACTTGCAGACAATAGTAACTTGAACTCTGATAATCAGTACTAGTCATAAAAGGAACAGTGCACCCTGAATTCTAATCTCAGATCTTATCTAATCTAATATCTCCTGCATATTTATCAGCTCTATTCAAGTGGCACTCAAGGAGCTATGCTGCACAGCTGCTATTTGTGTATATATGTAATCTCTTTTCCTATGTGTAACATCCTATGTCATGTCTCGGGGGGGGGGAAATAAGTTAAAACTCCAGTCTCTTACTTGCTTAGACAGTTTTCATAGTTGAAAGTCGCCTTAAAGCCATAGATAGAGAAAGTCACAATACTGGCAAATATTGACGTGCTGCTGTTTATCAAAGAGATGATAATGGCATGTCTCTCGCAGTTGTTGTTTGGCTCGTTGTAGCTGGCAAACGCTATCAGGCTTCCGAAACCAAGACCAAGTGAGAAAAAGATCTGGGTAGCTGCATTAATCCAGGTTTTAGGATTTGCTAATTGCTCTAGCTGTAAAACAAGAGAGTGAGCAATGGCTGATGAAAATAAAAGTGGACTTCAGACTGTTTATCTATGGTATGTCTAAGGCTCTCATCATTGTAGTATCTAGACATAGAGGAGAGAGTAATCTCATTTATTAGGGACCTGATTCTGCTTGAGACCTTATATTCGCACAGCACCTATTAAAGTCAGTGTGAGTTTTACACCTAGAAGCAGTGCAGGACTAGGCTGTGTGCATGTGTTTCTCCAGTGGGTGAATAAAATGGTTTTGTTATATGCAGGGATAAATTCTCTGCTGCTGTAGATGAGCAAAATTTCACTGAAGTAACTGGAACTGCACCCATCTACGCTAGCAAAGAAATGTCTAATGATCTCCTTTGACATCTTTGGACTGAAATGTATCTTAGGCCATATTCATCTGTGGTGTAACTCTGTTGAATTCAGGGATGAATTTGGTCTGATATTGTTATTCAGTATATAAATAATACAACACAGCTCAGGTTTGATAGGACACTTCTTTTCCTGGATGAGGAAGCTAATAACTCATTGGTGATATAGTGGTGTATCCTCAAGAGTCTAGATACATACAATATCAGACCTAACTTACTATTGTCAAAATATAATCTAAATAAAAATAAGTTACTATTTTTGTATGAAATTATACAGTTATAATAAAGTTTTGTTAAAAATTCAGTGTATATTTTCTGTACCTTTGGTGTAAACATGTAAATCAGCCCATTCACAGCTCCATGTAGTGTTAGTCCTCTAATTAAGTATATGATGAGGACCAAATATGGCAAAGAAGCTGTTACGTAGACAACCTGCGCAAAAGAAAAGGTAAATTAATTAAAGCGTTAATCTGCACTGGCATCTGTTACTGTTTTGCAAGAACTGTACGGGTATAGGAAGAAGGAAGAAGTCAAATAATGTCTATAGTTACATTATCAAGATAAAATTGGAAAAGGTTATCAATCCTCATACTACAGAGTTTACAATGATTAGCAGTGAGGGAGGGGGAGAGACAATGAGGGGGGTATATCAGAAAGAAATTTCCTTCCTGGAATAGGATTGCATTCTTAGGTACACTGAAGGCATGCATATCTCCATTTGCAGACAATGTCGCAGTCTATATATTGACCATTGTACTAATCTGGTATGGCAAATCCTGTATGTTTGTTTGTTCTGTATGAAATATTCATAACATCACATTTGCTGCCTTATACTGATCCTTAAATGAGCACTTTCAGGTCAAATTAGGCCCAAAATTTAGGTATTACAAAAACAAATCTAAGACTAATGGCAATATTTCCATTATTTTCTTTTTTAAATCACAAAGGAAATGCTTTATTGTAATAAGAAGAATTAATAAACATTCCTCTGCAGTGTTTGCAATCCAAACTTTACAGCATTTTGCTAGGGTAAAATTGACTGGCAACTGACTATAAACTGTGAAACTAGTAAGTCAATTTTCATTGTCCAGTCTAAGAAAAATCCAAAAAGTAACAACATAAATGGTAACAAGCAAATTCAAATTTTAAACGTACTTTAAGATTTACAAATAACATCTTATATTATTATCTAGACCAGGAAATGATTGGGACTTGATCTGCAGCCCACTCAATACAATGCACCTTGGAACAGGCCTGTATTTTGAACCATATATTAATTTCCTTGAAATACAAACCCCAAAAAGGGACAATCCAATGGATTCCCCTTTGAATGTATTCTTATGGTGAGTCCAAAAAATTGATGTGTAAACCCTGATAAACATGGAATGAAGCATTTTCATCATATTATCCCAAGTTAATTTTAGTGCAATTAAACTAAAATCAGTTCAGTGATTATGAAACAGAAACCAGCCTCCTGGAGCTTCCAAAGATTTGAGTAAATTCTCAGACGATGAAAATTCCTGAAAGGGCTCTCTGGAGCTCTCACTATCCGTTTGTACCTCAGCTAGCCCGATGGAGCGCCCCACTCTTGCTTGGGGCCACTTGGTGCTAGTATAATACTACTTATAATGAATAACAATAATGCAAGTGAACCTTTCTTTGCCCAGCCACGGAGCTACTGAGTCATTTGAAATTTTGATAACTGCACAGAAAATTCAGTCCTGATTCAGAGCCAGAGTCATGTTGTTGAGCACTTAATCACGTGAGTAGTGCTCTTCCAACAAATGGGCTACTCAAGTAAGTGCTCACCAACATGGATATTAAGGCTCCACAATCTGGCCATTAAAAGTCCATGGTTTCCCAAAATCAATGTAACTCCAAGTCCTGCATCAGGACCTGAGGCTAACAGATGTTGAGTATCCTCCACTCCCACTGACTTCAACAAGAATTGTGGGTGCTCAGCATCAGATCCTGTTTTCAGGTTCAATCCTACTTCCATTTAAGTCAATGGCAAAACTTCGGTGTCTTCAGTGTTTCAGGATCAGGCCCTATCTGACTCCACTTAGCAGTGGTACAACCCTGAATTTTCTGAAGGTTTCAGGGATATCTAAAACCTTTGGGAACTTTTTCTTTTTGAGAAACGAGAGTGGAATTCTCAATCCTGTCTTGGGATTTAAATGACCTTCCATTACTGAAAGTGTCATTTAACCAGAGGTCAGGTCATTAAGTCTGTCCTGCATTTTCGCAGTGTGTGTTTTGTCTACTTCACCTTCATTAGAAGCTTTTATTAAGTTATTTTACATTCTTATTTAAAAAAAACAACCTTGTAAATGCATTAGTTTCAAATAACTTAGCAGCTGAGTCTATTGCACAATACATAACTTTACTGCTGTTTTTCTAATTAAGATACACACAGAGCTTCTTTCAAACCCAGACTCTGTGTCAATATCATGGCCACAATGGACCTATGCAGTAGGCTGGGTATTTAACTTTGCCACATAGAGCCAAGTTCAGCAAGTTGTTTTTATTTTACATACTCTTGGGTGCCCATGGGTTTCTGTGCTTGTCTAATACGATTTGAGGATATAAATCTAATCTTTATTCTGAAAACAGGTTCAGGAGGGAGATCTTTTTCAGCTTTTGGGGGTATCCTGTCGTAAGGTTAAAAAAAATCCTGGGCGACCTCCCCCCCACAGATTAACAGTAGACATGTGTCATAAACATACAGCTAAGGGTAGCATAAAATCCCTCTTTACCCTGTAAAGGGTTAATTCCTCTTTTACCTGTAAAGGGTTAAGAAGCTAGGATAACCTGGGGGCACCTGACCAAAAGGACCAATAAGGGGAGAAGATACTTTCAAATCTGTGGGCGAAGGTTTATGGTCTGTGTCTGTCGGAGCCAGCCAGGAAACAGGGCAGGGGAAAATATCTCTGAACTAAGCATCTAGTCTTGCAGAAATAGTAAGTAATAGCAGAAAAGAAATGCGTTAGATTACCTTTTGTTTTAGCTTGTGAATTTTTCCCTGTGCTAAGAGGGAGGTTTATCCCTGTTTTTGTAACTTTAAGGTTTTGCCTAGAGGGGAAATCCTCTGTGTTCTTGAGTCTTTTGTTATTCTGTAAAGTACTTACCATCCTGATTTTACAGAGGTGATTCTTTTACCTTTTCTTTAATTAAAATTCTTCTTTTAAGAACCTGATTGATTTTTCATTGTTCTTAAGATCCAAGGGTTGGGTCTGTGTTCACCTGTAGCAATTGGTGAGGATATTATTCTCAAGCCTCCCCAGGAAAGGGGGTGTAGGGGCTTGAGGGGATATTTGGGGAAGGTAGGGCTCCAAGTGGCCCTCCTTGAATGTTTGTTTAAATCACTTGGTGATAGCAGCGATACTGTTCAAGGTGGAAGTTGTGCCTTGGGAAAGTTTTTAACCTAAGCTGGTAAAAATAAGCTTAGGGGGGTCTTTCATGGGGGTCCCCACATCTGTACCCCAGAGTTCAGAGTGGGGAAGGAACCCTGACAACATGTTATTTCTTTCCTACGTTACTCCAATAGGGTCTGTCTGGCTCTGCTCTGATCAGGACCGGCTCCAGGGTTTTTGCCGCGCCAAGCAGCCAAAAAAAAAAAAAAAAAAAACAGCCGCGATCGCGATCTGCGGCACTTCCGCCGCGATTCTACTGTCGCCGCTTGTTTGGTGGCAATTCGGCGGCAGGTCCTTCCCTCTGAGAGGGAGTGAGGGACCCGCTGCCAAATTGCCGCGGAAGAGCCGGACGTGCCGCCCCCTTCCATGTGCCGCCCCAAGCACCAGCTTGCTAGGCTGGTGCCTGGAGCCGGCCCTGGCTCTGATTGAAGGCAGCATGCTTAACGAAGTGGCATCAGTTTGGCCCCATGGGTCTAGACTGTAAAATCTCAGAACTTCTTAGAACTTTGATGCTGCAGAGTAAATGTCACTCAAAGCGGGCCTCCCACATGGAACACAGGAATTGCCATATAGGATTGGACAGAGGCCAGAACGAGCTGCTTCAGAGGAAGGTACCAGAGACCCTGAAATAAGTAGCTATAGAATAACCTGTCTGTCCACAGGGGAAGTTTCCTCCTAACCTCTATTAGTTAGAGGATGGCTAATGGCCTGAAACATGAGGGTTTTCTATCTCTTTGACAATTCTTGGTTTTTAAAAATCCTTACTATTGTTATATACCACTATTATACCTGGATGTTCATGTTATCCATATAAATGTCCAATCTTTTAAAATCTTGCTAAGGTTACTCTGAATGTTAACATGTCAATGAGTTCCACTAACTACTAACTGTGTATTGTGTGAAAAAGTATTAATTTTTATTAGTTTTAAATTTGCTGAGAGTCAGTTTCATTGAATGCGGCATTCAAGGGATTAACACAAGAGGCCAATTTAACAGTGACTACAAAGTGAGGTAATTCCTGCTTTCCTTCCCATAAAGGTATGTTTACAAATGGAGTCTATAAGTTCCTATCATCCATAGAACAAGCTGCTTTTTCTTTGTCTGAGTCACAGATAAGTTCTTCCTCCAAACTAGTCAAAAGGCAGCTTTTCAATAACGGCACCACAAGTGATCGCCACGGAGCTTCAGTATCACACTGGTGTTTATATCTAATAGCAGAATACTGACCTGTGCCCTCTGATACTTTGTCTATGTCTGATCAGCTCACACCTGTGATTCCATGAGCAAACAGACTTCATAGTCCTTGACTATGACACATGCCAAGGACCACCACATTGTAAACAGGGACAGAACTCAGGGGCTTTTATTAGATGAGGGCAGTATGCAATGAAATGGCTAATGTGTGTACCCTGCCCTCTGCAGGATGAACTGTGACGTTCTATGACACTTATACAAATATGCTGCCTGCTGTCCAGAGACTGGCCCACAGAGACTATATGCCTTAAGCTACTGCAGCTAGTAGAGATCCTCTTTTAGCTAAAGTGGTAGTGTTCTATGTTTTGGAGACAAATATCCCCACGCCAGATATGTAGGCAGCATAGCTATTGATTGTAGTGTGGGAATGTAGACAACACACCGATTTATTACACAACTCATGGTTAGAACCAAATGAGGTTATGCAAACACTCTCCCAATGTACAAGCTATTGGATGCATTCATCAGCCTTTAAATGTCAGCCTGAGTGCCAATGTGCATACAGTATACGGCCCTGTCTCCGCACATAGACTATATGGTCCTGCATGAGCACTCAGGCAATGGTCAAACTGCGTTTCCCTGGTGAAGAGGAATTCAAACCAGCCAGGTTTAAAAAGCCTGTCAAAAGTTGTTTGTTTTTTTCCAGTTAACATCACTTAAAGCTGGTTTCTGCAAGTCCTAATTATGGTTTAACTCTGAATCAACAGTTATTATCCTCTTACCTTGCCGGTAGACTCTGTTCCTCTCAGAATACACAGATAGACCACCAGCCAAGCCAGGATCAGGCATATCGCTTGCTCCCACTGGATGCTCCCATACTCCTCAATGGATGGTGAAATGTTCAGGGTGTTCCTGTACCAAAAGTACTGAGTAGACGAGGTCTGCGCACATTCTTCGTCATAATCGGTGTGGTTACTGTTCAGTGGACAACTGGCCCATGGCAAGGGATCCTTTGGGGACCAAACAAATGCAAAAGTTGCAAAAGTTAAGCATGTAGCAGGGATTTTCAGAGCTTTAGTATCTTGATGAGGCATGGTGGGAAGAGAAAAGGTATTGTGCAAAGTGACAGTTCAAGGAAGCCAGGGGCGTATTGTGCTGTAGATGTATGGGGACTCTGGGACAGATCCTGCAGCTCTTACTCCCATGAGTAACCTCGCTGACATATTTATATCTAATAGCAGGAAGTCGACATACATGCAGTGATGTTGTTCTTTCATTTTCATCATCTCCTTCTCTTCAGCTCATACCAGTGATGTACTGGGACTAGTCACAGGAGTAAGGGCTGGGGATGTTTGTGGAAATTCCCATGAATGCTAATGTTCTTAGGATGTTAAGTCCCGCAGAAATAAATAGCATTAATCTGAGATAGACTCTGCCCCTGGATTATGGTTACATTACCATTTTCTTATGGTACTATTGACATAAGAACGGCCATGCTGGGTCAGACCAATGGTCCACCTAGCCCAGTATCCTGTCTTCCAACAGTGGCCAATGCCAGGTGCTTCAGAGGGAATGAACCGAACAGGTAATCATCAAGTGATCCATCCCCTGTTGCCCATTCCCAGCTTCTGGCACCATCCCTGCCCATCCTGGCTAATAGCCATTAATGGACCTATCCTCCATTAATTTATCTAGGTTTTTTTTAACCCTGTTATAGTCTTGGCCTTCACAAAATCCTCTGGCAAAGAGTTCCACAGGTTGACTGTGGTTGTGTGAAGAAATTCTTCCTATTGTTTATTTTAAACCTGCTGCCTATTAATTTCATTCGGTGACCCCTAGTTCTTGTGTTATGAGGAGTAAATAACACTTCATTATTTACTTTCCCCACACCAGTCATGATTTTATAGACCTCAATCATATCCTCCCATAGTCATCTCTTTTCCAAGCTGAAAAGTCCCAGTCTTATTAATCTCTCCTCATATGGAAGCTGTTCCATACCCCTAATCATTAGTAAGCACTTCTGAAACATAAAGCACGTTGTAAAAGACAACATCACGTCACAGATATCTTTGGACAAGTCCTATGCATTTGTAAGTCCTGCTGAAGCAAATAATGCCTCAGTGCCAGTGTCACAGGGAAGTGGCTACTCGGCTTAATCATTACCTCACTATCCAAGTTCAAGTGTCAGTGCACAATAAAGATTTATTAAGTCCCTGCAGAAACTCCAGAGATGATACATCATGAAACCTTATTTACTTCTTTATTGGAAACACCCATTCTGTGCTGCTGGGAGAAGCTACATAGTTCATCGCAGAAAGCTTTTATTTTCATTTTGTTGATCAAAAGATTAGCAAAGGTCTCACAAGGATGTGAAAGAATGTCCCCCTTTGGAGACCTAATTACCTTTTAAAGTGTTCGCTGCCAACAAACTTTAGCCAGACAGGGCTTCTGAAGTCGGTCATCATGGCCTGATGATGACCATAAGCAACTCAAATAAATACACTTCTAAAAGGGACCATTCAGTGGTCAGATTGTAGTGCTGATTATCAGCTCACTGCCCATCAGCATCTGCAGAATTTAAGTTTTCATATACCTTCTGCACACTGCAGATTCCCCTCTGGTCTAGTGTCACCTGTCTGGAAATTGGCTCATATTTTTGCCAAACAAGCCAGGTATGTTTTCAGAATTCCCAAGCACTTTGGCCCCAGCCCACCCCTGGAGAAAGTTAGGTCATTATCTAGCGATGCAGATCATCAGTGTTTCTACTCACCTGGAATGAATGGAACAGGTACCAGAATGCCCAGGCATTTATAACGTTATAGTACATGGAGAGGAAAAATGACACTACCACACTGGCAATGCCTGAGAATGAAAAAAGGGAAAGTCAGCGGAAGGGCAAACTGGCTGTACATCAGACTGCAGAATTTAAAAATGACACACTCACTTCTTCAGTCATTTTAGCTCTCCCAGACGACCATCACCATCACCAATGAAACATAAAGGTTCAGAAAAGAAGGCTGGAAAAATAGGAGCCCATCTAGATAGAAGCTGCCTAAGGTTTAGAGCTGTCCTATTGGGAAAGTGGCAATGCCTTAGGGGCAAAGAGACCAGCCAACCTAGTGACTCATGGTTAGACGTCCACACTGCAAAGAACTAGTGTTCTGAACCTCTCATGGGAAGACCATGTGCCATCCTACACCTTTAGTAGGGGTGAAACACTGTTAGCTAAAGGGACCATATTTTCTGACAGACTCTACATGTGTCACCACAAAAGTACCCTTTTTTTAAAGTGCTGGTATTGCTACTGTGAACTTCTGACTAGATAGAGCCATTTCTTGCAGTGGAGGATATTTCCTGGTAATTCTGTTCTAAGTGAATCTATCATGAAACACTGAACAAGTGTCATTATCATTCACTTTAAGCCAAAGAACAGTTTGCTGGTGCCAACCCTCATTTAATTTCTCTTCACTCTAAACACTGTTAAACACTAAACTCTCAGTCCCCAGGACTTGCCATCTCTGGTAAATGCACAGTAAATTCTCCTGTGGACAGAAACACCTCTTGAACAAACATTTTGACTGATAAAATGAGGAATTGGGATAATTCAGGTGTCCCCAAAATATTCCTAGAACACCAGGACATGTGAAAACCAGGAACTGTCAGGGGAATATTGGGACATATGTTCACTTTAGTGTAAACTGCTGTGGTTACTAAGTGCCTGATTAACCATGTGGCAGGTGGATAAAAAAAAATGCATGTTTAGAGCCAATTAGCCCATTTCAAGGTTACAAACTCAGTTAAAAATTGTAGTGTGGACAGAATCTGAGACCCCCGCCCTTATTTTTGCCAATTGAACTAGGATGGTTTCCTCATGCTGTGGATTAGAAGAGAGAGCCAGCAGCATTTACCAGAGTGTCACAATTGAAAGGAATGATCCCGCTCCCATGCAAATCAGTGGCAAAATCCCTACACTCTGCCAACCGGTAGATCACGACCAACTGGTCAATCCTGGAGCCTCTGACAGTCGATCACGATCTCTGTGCGCTAAAAGTCCAGCGGCGCAGTGGGGCTAAGGCAGGCTCCCTGCCTATCCTGGCCCCATGCTGCTCCCGGAAGCAGCCAGCACGCCCCTGCGGTCCCTGGTGGGGGCAGGGGTCTCCGCGCGCTGCTCCTGCCTGCAAGCACTGCCCCTGCAGCTCCCATTGGCTGGGAACGGGGACCTATGGCCAACGGGAGCTGTGGGGGCGATGCTTGCAGGCAGGAGCAGCATGCAGAGCCACATGTTCCCCTCTCGGAGCGGCGTGGGATCGGGGCAGGCAGGGAAACTGCCTTAGCCCTGCTGCACCACTGCCTGGGAGCTGCCCAAGGTAAGCGCCACCCACTGGGAGTCCGCACTCCTCCCCCCCCCCAGCCCTGAGCCCCCTACCAGAGCCAGCACCCCATGCCCCCTCCTGCACCCCAACACTCTGCCCCAGCCCAGAGCCCCCTCCTGCACCCAAACTCCCTCCCAGAGCTTTCACCCCTCACCCCCTCCTACACCCCAACACCCTGCCCCAGGCTCAGCCTGGAGTCCCCTCCCACACTCCAAACCCGTCGGCCCCAGCCCAGAGCCTGCACCCCCTCCCGAGCCCCAACCTCCTAGCCCAGCCCGGTGAAAGTGAGTGAGGGTGGGCGAGAGCGAGTGATGGAGGAAGGGGAGGATGGAGTGAGTGGGGCGGGGCCTTGGGAAGAGGCAGGGCCTCGGGGAAGGGGCGGGGTAGATCCCGGATTGCATTTAAATTCAAAAAGTGATCTTGTGTGTAAAAAGGTTGGAGACCACTGGGAAAGTTCTCTCATCATTTCGCACCTTTGCTAACACCCATTATGCGCTCCCCATGTTAGCTATGCTGGGAGCCCTAGTGTGAAAGGACTGCTAGCTGCCACTGGCATTTTCAGTATTGTGTCATGTAACCCTGTGCAGAGCAGGGCTAACTGGCATGGTGCCAGCACACCTACGCTAGAGCATCTGGCATTGCTAACACAGGTGCAGCTGAACAGGCGTTAGCAACAGGGGCAAATTCTTAGATCTCTGTCACACAGGAAGCATCTGGTATCTCTCCCGCCATGGTGTTCATGTCATAACTATAGTATTCTCAGAACCCAGGTTGTTGATACACATCAGATTGTCAAGTACTCTACTGTACTGCACAAATGTAAATCAAATATCAGGTAAAAGAAGGAGCTTTTCATCCTAGAACTAGACCCTTTGCAAGAAACCTCCGTGGTAGCAATGCCAAGTTTTTACCTGGTATCTAGGAAGAGTGCTGTAACTCCTTCCTGCACACAAACAACACAGTTACATATTTATTGTTTTACTGCACGTGACGCATTCTTGCCATTGAAATCTCTCTTCTTTCAAGGGCATGCAGGAGTTGAGCCTGAACTTTGGTCACTTACGTGAATATTCAACACCATTTTAGAGATGAACAATTCATGTTCAAATGAACTGGAGGTAGTTTAGGCTAGAAGGGCAATTTAGGCTATTTTTAGATGGATTAGTTCAGTTACTGGCCTATGTTGAAGGATGAGAGTAGTAAATTGGTGCATTGTTTTGTTGTTGTGATGTATTTCCTTAAGCTTGTCAGGAGGATGATCTTGTTGTTAAAACACCAAACAGGCAGGCCGGAGATCTGGGTTCTGGTGCTGGGTTCTGCCATTGACTTTCCATGGTTCAGTTTCCGCAAAATGGAGACAATCCTTCCCTACCTCACAGGCAAGTAATGAAGTTTGATTTATTAATGCTTGTAAAGTGCTTTTCTGATCCTTGGCTTAATAGATTCAGAGATTTGGCCCGAAGGGACCATTGTGTTCATCTAGTCTGACCTCCTGTATAACACAGGTCATGGAACTTCCTCAAAATAATTCCTTGAGCAGATCTTTTAGAAAAACCTTCAATTTTGATTTAAAAGTTGCCAGTGATGGAAAATCCACCATGACCCTTGGAAAATTGTTCCAAGGATTAGTTACCCTCACTGTTAAATATGTACACCTTACTTCCAGTCTGAATTTGTCTGGCTTCAACTTCCAGCCAATGGATCATGTTATACCTTTGTCTGCTAGATGGAAGAGCTCATTATCAAATATTTGTTCCCCATGTCAGCATTTATAGACTATGATCAAGTGACCACTTAACCTACACGTTTGTCAAGCTAAATAGATGGCGCTCCTTGAGTCTAGCACTATTAGGTATATGTTCTAATTCTTTCATCATTCTTATGGCTCTTCCCTGAACCCTCTCCAACTGATCAACATCCTTCTTGAATTGTGGGTGCCAGAACTGGACACAGTATTCCATTAGCGATTGCACCAGTGCCAAATACAGAGGTAAAATAACCTCTCTTCTCCTACTCAAGATTCCTCTGTTTATGCATTCAAAGATCACATTAGCCTTTTTGGCCACAGTGTCACACTGGGCGCTCGTATTCAGCTGATTATTCACCATGACCCCCAAATCTTTTTCAGAGTCACTGCTTCCCAGACTAGAGTCCCCCCTCCTGTAAGTATGGCCTGCATTCTTTGTTCCTAGATCTATACATTTAAATTGAGCTGTTTTAAAATACATATGATTTGCTTGCACCCAGCTCATCAAGCAAGCCAGATCGCTCTGTACCAGTGACCTGTCCTCTTCATTATTTACCACTACGCCAATCTTTGTGTCATCTGCAAACTTGTCAGTGCTGATTTTATATTTTCTTCCAGCTCATTGATAAAAATGTTCAATAGCACAGGGCCTGGGAGGTGCTACAGATGTGAGAAGTCATTTCAGGCTTTGCTATATATCACCATCTTACAGTATAAGCCAGTGACATGGACGGAAGTGGCTGAAATGTTGTATTGTGACACAGCAGCAAAACACAATGGCAAACAGTGTGCTCTTTTGAGATTTGATGGCCACTCTCAGCTCCTCGCAGGTTGTTCAGTCAATGCCACATACGTGTGGGAGGCAGCAGGGGTCAGGGAAGCAAGAATCCCTGGCTTCTGTGCCTGGCTCTGCCAATGACTCCCTGTGTGACACAGAATAAGTCACTTAACCTCTCTGTGCTTCAGTTCACTGTGTAGAAACTCTGGATAATATTTGCCTCCTTTACGGGCGTGTTATGAAGCTTAATTATATAATGTTTGCAAAGTGTTCTGAGATTCTCAATACGTAGGGTGCTATATACGTGTGAAGTATTATAAGTATTATAACCTGTGCTCTGGGGGAAACTAAAGTTCATTGCACGTACTTTAGCACAGCTCTTTTCGCTAATTACCCAGGGATCCATGACTTTGATCAGAACTCTGATTTTATTTGTATATTGCCCATTTCATTTTATATCCCATAAATACCCCAATTCTTGTCCATTTCCTGCTCTAAATTATATTTCATGCAAAAACTCATAGGAATCCCCAAAAGTCAGCTAGGAGTTCAAAATAACCCTGTTCGTGAATTAAGAACGTACCAACCCCGCTGAGGTAGGGGCTTATGATTTTCCACGCTCCTATGCTCCCCTGGCGCATGTGCTGTCCCACTGCCAACTCCAGGTATAGCAAAGGCATCCCTTCTACAATTAACATGATGAGATATGGGATTAAAAATCCCCCTGTAGGAGAAACAAAAGAAAGCATTTAACAAGCAAATGAGAGAAATGAGCTATTACTTTCCGGGCCGCCCAGAGGATTCAGGGGGCCTGGGGCAAAGCAATTTTGGGGGCCCCTTCCATAAAAAAAAGTTGCAATACTATAGAATACTATATTCTCGTGGGGGCTCCTGTGGAGCCCGGAGCCTGCCCCCCCTTCCCCCCCCCCCCCCCCCCCCCCCGGGCAGCCCTGATTACTTTTGAGACTTCAAATACAGTTTTAATAACACCGCTCTGTCATTAGATGGCTCACCATTAATGATATGAACAGCCACGCATACAGATCCATACATGCACACCTATTCATGTACCACATCCATGCATGTACACCTTTGTATGCTCATCCATTCACCCTTGTATGCAATTCCCACTGCTTGTGCAGCCATAAACTAGTGATAAAAGTGACAAGCTATGGAACTGCTGAAGCTAGTCCATAATGAGATTCAGCATGTTCTCTGTCCTTGATGATTAGCCTGTAATTGCTACATGATGGATCTTGGGCCAAACAGTTGTCTTCCAGATGACAATATATTGCTGATGATTGCTGTGTTAGGATCCCAGCTGCACCTGCAGCTTCATGCAGGTCACCAGCGTGACTGATTCAACAAAATCCTAAATGTGATGTCATCTCATTAAGAGGTGGAAGAGTCGTCTTAGGCTGACTTGAGCAGACAAATTTTTTATACCTCAGTGATGATGCCAACCAGCAGCAATATGAGGGTGCTACACCAATAAAGCATGTTGCAAACGTGAGACTATCTAGACCGGAGTGGGCAAACTTTTTGGCCAGAGGGCCACATCTGGGTAAGGAAATTGTATGGCGGGCCATGAATGCTCATGGGGTTTGGGGTGTAGGAGGGTGCTGGGACTGAGGGGTTCGGAGGGCAGGAGGGGGATCAGGGCTGGAACAGGGTGTGGGGGCACCGGGGAGAGGTGAGGGTTCTGGTTGGGGGTGCAGGCTCTGGGATGGGACTGGGGATGAGGGGCTTGGGGTGCAGGAGAGTGCTCCAGGCTTGGACTGAGGGGTTCAGAGGGCGGGAGGGGGATCAGGGCAGGGGGTTGGGGCACGGGGGGGGTGGCTCAGGGGTGCAGGCTCTGGGCGATGCTTATCTCAAGCGGCTCCTGGAAGCAGTGGCATGTCCGCCCTCCGGCTCCTATGCAGAGGCCCGGCCAGGCGGCTCTGCTGCGTGCTGCCCCGTCTGCAGGTGCCGCACCTGCAGCTCCCATTGGCTGCGGCGCTTGGGGTGGGGGCAGTGTGCAGAGCCGAGCCCCCTGGCTGCCCCTACGCATAGAAGCTGGAGGGGGGACATGTCACTGCTTCCAGGAGTGGCCCCTGACCCTGCTCCCCAGCTGGAGTGCCAGAGCGGGGAAAAGCCAAGACCCCACTCCCCAGCATGAATTTGAGGGCCGGATTAAAATGACTGGTGGGCCGGATGCAGCCCACGTGCCATAGTTTGCCCACCCCTGATCTAGACTCAAGCCACATCTCAGCACCAGGCCCAGTCTCCAGTTCAGCAGAACAATCACGATACACCACTGTGTGGCCTTGTCTACACTAGGGCATTTTTACTGATAAAAGAAAAAGAAGCACAAAACCAAGGCAATGTTTGATTTTTAAATTAACTATAGAAAGTCTAATCCCCAAATACCCACAAAATGGGTTGGATTCTCTTTCTACACATAAGTTCCGTTAAACCCAGGGGTGCTGGATTTTGTGAGCCGCCAAAAGGACATTACATGGTTTGCCTGCATCCTCCAGTCCAGCCCTGGTCTGCCACCTCCACCCCTGCATCACGCTCTCCTCTCAAGCTCACCCTCCAGTTCTAACCCATGCTTCTGATTTCCAGCTCCTGCACTGCTGCTATTCCCCGCCCCCAGGGAAACCGCTTAAACTCCATGCCAGGCTGTACCTTTGCACGCACACACCCAGTTCATTTGCCCTCTGGGCCCTAATTCTTAAATCCAGCCCTGCGTTCTGAAAGACTAACAAGATACTGTGTCACTGTATGTACAGTCACCATTACTGCTGATGTATGTGATTAAGGGGGCAAGGGGATATCATACGCTCCAGGGGAGAGAAGGCTCAAAAAATTGTGAAAACTGGTAAGCGATCAAAGAACAAAACTGTAGTGGATGTTGCTGAAGTATTACATGTTTTTATTGTTATAGGGCCTGATCCAAAGTCCACTGACGTTAAAAGGAGTCTTGCCCGTTGACTTGAATGGGCTTTGGATCAGGCCCGTAGTATGTTACTCTGTTCAACGAGGTAATGGGTATTGGAAAAAGCATCAGATTAAAGAGCAAGGCAATTAGCCAAAATTTTGCCAAGTGCATAGTTTGCCTGTATGCTCTCAGACCCAACACTGAAGACGATTTGTGTAGCTATTGGTACTAGAAGTCCTATTGTTTTCAAGTACTCTGAGTTGGTAACTCTAACTGTCCTGCTAGTAAAATAATTTGGTTCTGTGCGGCGCTGTAGAGATTTTAAAGCTACTGTGGAATCATCACTGCATGCTGAGCCAAACTCTGTTTATCCAACCACTGTATGTAAGGGGAAAGAGTGGTGATGATCTCTCCAGGACCTATAGTCATGCCTTTAAGTGTATCAAAGAGTTACTGGCATCATCAGATGTCTGATGCATCACCGTCCTAGCCTGCAAATAAAGTTAGCATGTGATACTTCTGCATATTGGTTTTGAGGTGGCAATCATGTGTCATTAAATAAATTACTTTCCCTGTATGAGCTATGAACATCAGGAACACAATTATACTGACAACGGAAGAGAAGCTTTAGGTATTATAGATGGGGGAACAGGCGGATACATCTTTGGTGTGCATTTACCTGAATCAGATGGAGTTCTTTCTTTACTATCCCAGAAAGACAATAGGGGAAGCCACCAGAAGAAATCACTAATTGATGTTATACTGAATTTGGGAGTGATGGAAGCTAGAATAAAAGTGACCTCAGCCGGTAGGACTAGGAAGGTGCGAGTGTGGCGGTGTTTATGATGCAGGTTAGACCTCAGAACAGTGGTTGGAACTGGAACTTGCTGGAATGGCTGTCTGCACATACCCTTCCACATTCCATACTACCCCCAGTTCGTTCAGTTTCCTTCTCCCCATCATAACCCAACATAATGTGAATCTTACATTGATTGGTATCTTATTTTGCTGACAAAGCCTTGCTTAGTTTCTTGAATCACATTGTCTGAGAGATGCTGAGCACCCTCCACTCCCATTAAAGTCTGTGGGAATTCGGAGAGCTCAACCCCGCACAGGATGTGACCTGTGCAGCACCAGAAGAAGCAGTAGCAGGGGGAAGATGCACTTACAAGTGTGAGCTGCTGACCAGCAAGGTTCCACTGAGATAGCTGAGCCTACCCTGCAAAAAACGGGGTACAAAAGGATATCTCAGCAAGGCTTGGACGTTTAAAGAATTAGGCTACACCTGTTAATTGGGTTTTGGTTGAAACCAGAAGCGCTAAAATTCCTTAACTGGAGTCCCTCACTCTTACACACTTTTACCAAGTCAGCTTTGAATGCCTTTGTTTAGGATTGGCATGGTAAAGATTCCTGATTCACCCCAGTTCTTAACTGTAACTAATGGGGGCGAGGTGAGTATGTAAACTTACAGGCTGGATCAAGTTCCCTGGATCCAACCTAACACTATAAATTGCACTTGGGCATTTATAGATCATCAGAGAGGAAATATTGATGTGCTCACTCCCCGCTTTGTGTGTGAAACAGACAAGGTCTTTGCAAAGGGGAAGACAGACAGAAAGACAGGCAGACTTGGTTCCTTGCAGGGGGCAAAGAGGGGGAGGAACAGAGAGATTCTATTATAATGGGGTGGCTCAACAGTACCATATGGTACTTGAATGGGGTGTCCCCCACTGCAGGTTTCTCCTGTAAAAAGCCCCTGCCTTTGACTTTGAGATCACCTCAGAAAGACCTGCTGACTAAGTCAAAAACAGATTTTTTTGAGAAGCCTTTCCTGGTTTTAACAGCAAGCCAAAATATTTACGTAAATATCTATTATTTGGAATTTAATCTCCAGCATTAACATTCCTTGCAATGGGCTCTGCTCAGTTACTTGCAAAGAAGTTGAAATGAACACTGAGCAATAATCCGTATTATTCAGGGAATTAATTTTATACCTCCTGGCTATGCTTTTATTAACAACCCCTTTGTTTGCCTCTTATGTTAGATAACTCCCCAGTTTGAAAGGGAGTTATCAGAGACTTAACAGTCCTTACATATTCAGTGGGGACCTTTTATAACACCCAATCAAACCCCAGTGAACCCCCTGGGAGTTTTGCTGTTGACTTCAAGGGAATCAGGATCAGACCCTTTGTGAAGTCCTTTTTTTCACCAGACAGCTTCACTATATCTGGATTTGCAGTTTGCCATGTTGTAACACAGTGAAATAATTAGGGACTTTTATTCTACTTCACAACGAACGAGAGCTGGGGCAGAACCAAAAGCCCAAATCCAACCCCCCCCCCCAACTTTGGTCATGTTTGGATCCAAACTTTGCATCCAGCCCCTCTCTTTAGAATGAGCTGAACCAAGATCCCAGATCCAAACACCCTGTGAACTCTGGGGCAGCTCAGTTCTGGATTCAAAGTTAAACCTTGGGCCAGCTCATCAGCAGATGTAAATCAGCATCGCTTCATTAAAGTCAATGGTGCTTGGATGATTTGTTCCAAATGAGGCTCTGCCCCTCTGTGTCTTGGGTCTGTATCTATTAAGTATGATTGTCCCTATATCTGAGTTCACTATAAACAAGTTCCACTGTATCTTTAATTTGATAATCTCATTTATACATGGGTTAGCTGCCAAAGAACTGTCTTAAAAGTTAATAGGCATCTTAACTGATATGTTATTCAAACCACAGAACAATAACTGTGATGCTCTCTAGAAAGAACTGGTTCATATCTGTGTTGCCCAGTTCAAGCCCTCTGGATAAAAGAGAGGATAAGCAGTGAATACATTTACAAGAAGGAAGATAATTGGTTTTAAAGTTTGGACGGCTATTGTATCTTATAGATACCTGTGGTAAGAACTTTTAGACTATGCTCTTCAGGGCAGGGAATGATTTTATTTTTGTGTTTCAGCGTGTCAACCACATAGTCAGCCCTACACAATAATACTAATGGGGGAAAATGCAGCAGTCAGCTGAAGTTATAAGGCTGTTCATTTAGGTCCCTGAAAACCATACTTTGCAGAAAATCCATGTTGCTGGGTGGTGATTTTTTTTTCTCTTTGGGCTGGAGGCATTGATCAAAGGTACACTTGTGTGTGCTGTAAAGATTTACAGCTGCAGGGCTCGATAAGAGAAACTTAGAAAGCTAATCTTGTTACAGTAGAGTAAAAAGCCTCATACTTGAGTCTAACTGCCCTTTAGAACATCTCTGCTGGGCGGACAGGAAAATTGTCTGCAATGGGTTAGACACAATTTATAAATGTGTACATAATGTGCAATTAAATTTTAAAAAAATATTAAAAGGCAATGTTCTGGCATCACTTTCAAGGAGGAAGATGGTAGCCTTCTGAAACATTTGTAATTGAGAATTTAGCAGGAATTATAGATCATCTCTCTAGCTAATATATCCTAGTTTACATTTCTATACAGCATCAACCACTTGCAATATCTAAATGCTAAGTTAGGCCCTGATCCAAAGCCCATTGAAATAAATGGAAAGAATCCCACTGACTTCAGAAAGCTTTGGACCTGGCCCTTATGGCATATCTAATCTAATCTATCTAGAAATTAATTTAAACAATTGCTCCAGCTCCCAGCACACATTGAGTGCCTCGTGCAAGTGGGTTTAAAACTTGTGTTCGAACCAAAGTTAAAAAAAGAGTTTAAAAATCTGCAAACAGTTTTTCTCCTGGGAAGAAAAAGGGTGAAGGGCAGAAAGAACCACATGTGACAGGTGCTAGGGATTCAGGTACTACGGTGATGGATGCAGCATAAAGAAACTGAATAGAACTGTCCTAGGAACCTTACTGGAGCTTCTTTAAGGCTAGTCAGCGTGTCAACCACATAGTCAGCCCTACACAATAATAGGTATTTGCCTATTAGAACTGGTGGTAAGTTTTCTCTATAATTAACCTAATAATCTGATCTTTGATTTCTAAGTGCAGAAAAGCAACTGACTCTGGGTTTATGTCTATTTCTGACATTTTTTTGTTTAGTTTGGAGCGGGTGAAAAAAACCAGCATCCCAGCCAGAGAACTCTTTTTGAACCAAAACCAGTTTAATCTACATTTCCAAAGCCTCTTGTGAGATTTTAGCTGTAGCAATCCCGTTGCCTAAGGAGTTTCTGCCAACTTCCAGGCAACTTTGCAGCCAAGTTATCAACCCTTTAAAATTAAGCCTTATATAACAGAACTGCATTAACAGCAGCAGTTTGAATGGCTATTATTAATCCCTTAATTAAATCAATGTAAATCTCTTCCCTTCTCAGTAGCATTTTTGGATCCAAATATGTAAATCTATAAGGAACTGAACCAGCTTCTGATGCCCTGAAAGTAATTTAGCAGGGGAATTAAAAAATCAGCACCATAGGAACCTTCTCTCTTATACAAAACAGTGTTCCTCCTTGTGTTTTCAGAGCTCAGTTGGGAAGGAATAGTATTGTATTGAATTGGGGCGGTACTCAGGAAAAAGGGTTACACGGGAGACACAATGGAAAGCAATGTGAAATAAAATAAAGATGTATAACGTCTCTGTAGCTAGAGATGGTCTGCTGATACATTTTATGTCTCTTGCCTATATAATCTAAAGAACTCCCCCTCCAGTGAATATAAAAAACGATCAGATGAATGGGATACTGACATGGACATACTTTTGGTTTAAAAATATTTAACATTCCACGTCTGTACCCTTCTGAGAGGGAATCAAGAAACAAACTGCACTTACCTCCTCCGTACATCTGACATAAATATGGAAATCTCCAAACATTTCCCAGCCCCACTGCATAAGAAATGCAGGCAAAAATAAACTGTAAGGGATTGTCCCATAATGGCCGGGGTTTTTCCATTTGCACTTTCAAGCACAGATTTCAGCAAAGGGTTCTTGACTTCACTCCTTCAGATGCTCTTCAAAGCCCTGCCTGAGACTCAAAGCCAACCCAACTGAGAGGGGAGTATGCTTGCCAATTGCTATCAAGCTTTTTAATTACTAATCTTATTAACAGGCACATAGTGAAGTAGGAATGCTGGTAAATAGATTATAGACACACGCACACACACACAGAACTATAAAATGGGCACTTTGGGTGAACAGTTGCTTAGCTTTCAACTTGCATTGGAAGGATCTGAATTAGGTTTTTATTTGGCTGAATGCTGGGTTGATGTTGAAATCAGAAAACATTTTCAGCTGCACATGGCTGAAATGACTTGGAAAGCTGAAAAATCCTCATTCCTTAAGGTTTGCCACCAACATGTGACGTGTTCCTTTGGGAGTAGTGTGCATGGCTCAAGGCGAGAGTAGGCCATTTCGTATTTACTAATTAGTGAGCGAGGTCTCCACACAATCAGGGTTTGTTTAAATACGCGCATTTGTCAGCTTCCAAGGTGGAGATGACCTTACTGAAATGTGCAAATGCCTATCCTAACATATCTCAGGTTACAGTCACTCAGGTCTGGTGGTCTATATGAAATCAGATAGGTGGTCTCCTAGTGGAGAGAGTCGACATCACAAAAGCTGCTAACTGCTGGCCCTCTTGCTGAGATGAATAGGACTGAATGGGTGTGGAGACTAAAGGTGTCTAAAGATGGTCTTCGGTCTAAACATGGTCCCTTCAGGTCAGGACTGTGGAGTTTTGGGTGAAGCAGTATGAGAAAGCTTGCCTTGCTGCTATCTCTGCTGTACTTACTCTGTGGCTAAATAGAGGACTTTGGTCTCCAAGTCTGTCATCAGCCCTAAAAATCTACCCCCAATTTTAAATACTTTGAATTTAAAATAAGAAAAGCAAAAAACCCACAAGTGTAAGCTGTACTTGAAAATTGTGGTCAAGATCCTCAGCCGCTGTATATCAGCATAGCTCGGTGAAGATCGGGCTCCTTTCTCATAGGCTAAACTTTCACCCGCTTCTAAAAGTTTTGTCTCAGCAACAGGCCCTGTGTAGTTATGATTACTCTTATAGTTCAGTGTTTATTTTATTTTCCATTGATTTGAGCAAGTTAAATAAATGTTCTCCAAATAATGTTTTTATTTGTTTGATTCAACTGACCACAGGCAGCTATCTGGATGATTTTAGCTAGCTATATAGGGACCAGATCCTCCAGCCTGATGGAGCTGCACACAGCACAAGACCAGAGTGGGGGCAAAAGTGGTTTTGGGGACCACAGCTCTGGTCCCGAAATCCTGGTGCTGAGCTACACTGGAACCATGGCATGAGTTACACCATCCTGAGGGCAGCTCTATCTTGCACTAGCTACACTGAGCCCCAAGAGGCTATTCCAGCCATCAGGGGTGCCAGCAGGATGAATACACCCTGGTTTCTTCCCCTTTCTCTTTGTTATGGTTCCTATGTGGAGGGTCAGCGGGGATGGCAGTATCGGAGCCAGTATGTTAGTTCTACGCTGCTGGAGAATTCCCCCAGGTGTGTGTGAATCCTCAAGGAGTAGGTGAATCTAGTTTTAGGGCTGTTTTGCACTGCCAGAGGTGAGACAAGAATTTGGTCCATATAGATATACTGTATACTAACGTTAATTACAATTACTATAGAACATAAATTGCATATTATCATCTGCATTGTTTTAAATATATAGGGGGTTCTCCCTCACTCACATTACACAGACCAACACCACCAATCTCGTTTCCCCAGGAAACAAAGCTTGAACTTGTAGTAAACTTGAATTTGTCAATGCTGTAAAGGCATGGGCTCTGAGGTTTGATGGAGGCATAAGGTCACAGGTTTCAGAGTAGCAGCCGTGTTAGTCTGTATCCGCAAAAAGAACAGGAGTACTTGTGGCACCTTAGAGACTAACAAATTTATTAGAGCATAAGCTTTCGTGGGCTACAACCCACTTCTTCGGATGCATAAGGTCACAGAAATGCTCTCTCTGATCTGTTTAGAATTAGATGCTTTAGATGCATCCTCAACTTTTACGGTTGGGCTGTAGAATGTGAATTGGGCCTTACGTCTACCGAAAATGTTTTAAATAGGGCTGTCAATTAATCACAGTTAACTCATGCGATTAACTAAAAAAATGAATTGCGATTAATCGCACCTATAACAATAGAATACCAATTGAAATTTATTACATATTTTTGGATGTTTTTCTACATTTTCAGTATTGATTTCAATTACAGCATAGAATACAAAGTGCACAGTGCTCACTTTATATTATTATTTTTGACTACAAATATATGTACGGTAAAAATGATAAACAAAAGAAATAGTATTTTTCAATTCACCTCATACAAGTACTGAAGTGCAATCTCTTTATCGTGAAAGTGTAACTTACAAATGCAGATTTTTTTTTTGGTTACATAACTGCACTCAAAAACAAAACAATGTAAAACTTTAGTGCCTACAAGTCGACTCAGTCCTACTTCTTATTCTGCCAATCGCTAAGACAAACAAATTTGTTTACATTGACGGGAGATACAGCTGCCTGCTTCTTATTTACAATGTCACCTGAAAGTGAGAACAGGCGTTCACATGGCACTTTTGTAGCTGGCGTTGCAAGGTATTTACATGCCAGCTATGCTAAACATTCATATGCCCCTTCATGCTTCGGCCACCATTCCAGAGGACACGCTTCCATGCTGATGATGCTTGTTAAAAAAATAGCAGTCTCGGATGATGACCCAGTACGTTTGTTTTAAGAACACTTTCACAGCAGATTTGACAAAACGCAAAGAAGGTACTGATGTGAGATTTCTAAAAATAGCTACAGCGCTCGACCCAAGGTTTAAGAATCTGAAGTGCCATCCAAAATCTGAGAAACTACAGAACCCGAACCACCAAAAAAGAAAATCAACCTGCGGTGACATCTGACTCAGATGATGAAAATGAACATGCTTCAGTCCGCGCTGCTTTGGATCTTATCAAGCAGAACCCATCATCAGCATGGAAGCATGGCCTCTGGAATGGGTTGAAGCATGAAGGGACATATGAATCTTTAGCGCATTTGGCACGTAAACATCTCGCAGCACCAGCTACAACAGTGCCATGCGAATGCCTGTTTTCACTTTCCAGTGACATTGTAAACAAGAAGCAGGCAGCATTATCTTCTGCAAATTGTAACCAACCTTGTTTGTCTGAGTGATTGGCTGACCAAGAAGCAGGACTGAGTGGACTTGTAGGCTCTAAAGTTTTACATTGTTTTATTTTTGAATGCAGGTTTTTTTGTGTACATAATTCTACATTTGTAACAACTTTTATTATAAAGAGATTGTACTACAGTACTTGTATGACATGAATTGAAAAATATTTTTTTATAGTGCAAATATTTGTAAGCAAAAATAAAGTGAGCACTGTACACTTTGTATTATGTGTTGTAATTGAAATTAATATATTTGAAAATGTAGTAAACATCCAAAAATATTTAAAATAAATGGTATTCTAGTGTTGTTTAACAGTGCAACTAATCGCAATTAATTTTTTTTAATCACTTGACAGCCCTAGTTTTAAATGCCAGCTGTGAGGACAATCTTGCCTGAAAGAAAAGTATCATACTGGGTCTCATCAGAGAGAGCTCCTAACTTTAAAATCTCCCCTGCAAGAGGTGGTAGCTATTGGGAAGGCCATTTTGATGGACGGGGTACATAATGAGATCCAAAGATTGTTGCCTCTGATTTGGTGGGAGTGGAATCAGGGTAGTTGCCTTATAGAAAGGCTTAATGTGAGGATATTTCCTGAACATACTGAGAACGTATTAGTGTGGAGACTTGGCCTTATAGCTTGGACATTCTTATACCCATGATAAGACACACCTGGAGCAACTTGGGGCTATGTTTCATTTACTGAAATGTGATAATTTGTGGAATTTGCCTAGCAACTAGGTTAAATTCTTTTTGTTGCCTTCTTTCTAGGGTTCAGTAGAGTGTTAATCAAATCAAGTATCCATTTTTGTATAAGTGGCTTCTTTCAAATGCCAGGCTGCTAGGTTGAGTCTGTCTGGTTGTGGAAAGAAGACTGGTCCTTACACTAGCAGATCATCTCTGAGGTCAAGATATCAGGTAGTGTGACATGAGGTTAATCAGGCCTGAGGACCATGGCCTGTTAAGCCAGAACAGCACGATCAGTTTCAGTGTTAGTCCCTCCTTTCTATCTTCTGTATAGGTGTGGGGAACAGCACAAAGGATGGGAAGACTATAGCTGAGACCTTAGCCCGCTTTGATAGAGATTGTTCATCACCTTAGATCCCTGGTCTTGATAGCTGGAGAGAGGCTACAGGATGCTTTATTGTTCTTTTCAGGGTTAAGAGATCAATTGCTGACAATGAATGAGGATAGTTCGGGGCCTAGAGCCATGTTCTCTTTGTTCCTGATACTCTGAGGCTAGAAATAAGGTGGGAACTGGCCCTTCAATTCCTTCTAAAAGAGCATTGGGTCATCTCACTCCAATCTGAAGTAACTGAAGGATGGCTTCTTTCAAATCTTTTTAACCATTATTGAATTTTAATTTCGATAACAAGGTTGAAAAATTTCAATAACATTTTTGAGAAAATTTTTAAAAATTCAATTAAATTTTTTTGAAAAAATGAAAATTGGGTTTACTGTTAACCCTGCAAAATGGAATCCGCTTTGAAATTTCAAAATGGCTCATGATCTTTGTTTCTAAATTAACTTGCTCTTGTAGGCATTTTCTCCCAAACTGAGGGAGTTGGGGTGGGGGTTGGGGGTTACTGTAGAAGGGGTTGGGTGTGTGTCAGACCAATTGTTCTGAAATGGCTGAGGGACTTACTGACTTTGCCTCTCCTTCATTTGTCTCAGCTACCATTAGCAAAGTGGTATTCTCTCGTTCTAGTCCTAGGACTGCTTCAACTGGCTGTGTGATCTGGACTCTTTTCTATAGTGTCTGTT